CGCTCCTGACCCAAAAAAAAAAAGTGCAAAGAAAACTGTGGGTGTGAAATGCTAAGAACACCACTTTTCCTAAGGATAATTTTGTATTGCTGTACAGTTGTCAGAGCAGAGGATAAGAAATTGGAACATGGAACCTTTCAACACTATTTTTCACAAATGTTATATGTCTAGGAGGTGGTTTTGTCGAGTAGCCCTTGGAGTAGTGAAGCAGCACAAACCGTTGACACGGCTGGCCTTCAATTTATTGTAATAGCAATCATTCAGAAGTGCTGAGAAAACAGTGTGAATACAATGTGTTGAAGACATCACTTTCCATTAGGAAATGTCTTTGAGCTGTCAGGTTGACAGAACAGAGGACGATAGAATTGGATATTTGCTATATGTAACCCAACCATCTTCATATAACTGTTGCCTTTTTCAGTTGGAGATCCCTAATGTTGATTTTAGAGATACATAGAGGAATAAATGGTTGATATGATGGACCTACACAAAATATAACAGAAACAGGCTAGAGATGTCAAAGTAGTGATCTGGATTATCAATCCCAGCCAAACCTAGTTGTAGTTTCTTTGCTTTCCTACTATTTTCTAGTTGACTCTTCGATGTTGTAGGGGGAGCGGATAGTGCTAGATATAAAGAAATTTTGCTAAGACAATTAGTTAGAAACATTTGCATATTGTTCTGTATATCTGTTCCAGAACTCAGTGAATTAGAAACTTTAAAAATCTCCCCTTATTTTCCAAATTCTCAACTTAATTAGAAAGAACCTCCATATAACATTTCATTATGTTCCAGTCCTTGCTATAGCATTGAATTTGCAGCATCTGCTATTTCACTGATACAGTTTATGAAGTTTCCTACCATGGCATCCCATTGTCTTCGGAAAGAGTCCTAGGACACTTCCTTGATGAAGTCCGCCATCATACGACACAACACTTCTTCTGGCGGGGCTCTATACAGGAAGCATCCTGGCAGCATCTTAAAATTCTTCCCAAAGTCAATGTGATGATGTAGTAAGAAACTTCATAAATTGTATCAGTGAAATAGCAGATTAAATGGTGTATGTATGTTTTCATGCTTTGAATTGCTTTGTTTACATGTTTGCCGCTTTGAGACTCGATTTTGGGCGAAAAGTGGGATAAAAATAAATAAATAAATAATAAGATGCTGCAAATCCAATGCTATAGCAAGGACTGGAACATGTTGAAATGTTATATGGAGGTTCCTTCTAATTAAGCCTGGAGAACATGGGAGACTTAGATAGAATGGGGGGAAATGATGGGAAAAGCACTGCAGCAGGTGATGTGAGGCACATGGCAACGTTTTCTTCTGCTGCCCAGCAGATTCACCACACTGCATGGCAAATCTTCCCGCTGTGAGGAGGTCCTTAGTTTAGAGTTGACTGGCTTCAGTGCTTGGGGCCAGTCTCTGAAGATTTTTTGTATATGTCAATTCAACACTTTGCAAAGAAATTTTATATTGAGATAGAGGAATAAGGTAAAACAACATATATATTACTTTGCTGTTTGGTGTGGCATTGTCTGATTTACAAAAAAATAAATATCTCTATAATAATATTTCTGGATTGTACAAAGTTTAAAAAAGAAAGCTTGGAAAATGTAATAAGATATTTTACCCATGGATACTCAAGGTGGCTAAGGGGGGTATAAAAAAGTTGATAATAAAAAAATAATATAAATAAATAAATAAATATTATTTTATTATTATCAACTTTTTATACCCCCCTTAGCCACTTTGAGTACCCATGGGGACTCAGGGTGGCTAACAATCCCACACTTTAGTCAAGTTTAAAAAGTGCAATACAAAAGTTAAAGAACAATTAAATGGTACAGTGTGGTAAAAACATTACAAAAGATACATTTACTGGGTTTTGTATATAAATGTGGTTGGTATCTATCTATACTGGAGTTATAGGTGTCTAAAAGTGGTATCATTTGTAAAGAAGTATATTTGGAGGAAATTGGAAGAGAAGAAAGTCTTCTCATAAAAATCTAGGAAGGCTGCCTTGTTATAAAAAGGAAATAATTTGTTATTTGAGGGTTTTTATTATTATATATTGTTAAAAGAATGATTTAGAGATATATGATAACTCTTTAATTAGCCACATGTACTGACATATATCAACAAGAGTATTTATGTTATTTGATAAAATTCCTAATCTTACAATGACTTTTTGTAGAAAATAAGTATATGTTTTGTAAGCTTTGATTTTGTTTATTAGAAGATAGATTTTTATAAAGAGGAATTGAAGTGTAAACTGATTGCAAGTTTAAATAACTGTTGAAAATGAGATGGAAAGTCACTTTTCTCTTTTTGTGTCCTTTGTTTTATCATTGTCTATTTATATTGGATGTGGCGCTTTCTCAGTAAAATAACAATTTTGTTCATTTACTGATTTATAATCTAAGATAAGACACAAAAAGAAAAGTCCAACAGGTACTGTCTCTTTTTTGCTCCCTCTGTGGTTAAGGCAGTGGCAGTGGTATGGAACGAGGGTCTTTTTGTTTGCATTGTATTTTGTAGTTTTGGGGTTTTTTTCCAGTTTTCTGTTTTCTTTTTTGTCAGTATTGTCCTATTTTATGTGTTGTATTAAAATCTTAAATGAAATTTTTAAAAAGAGAGAAAGATAGGGAATCAGAAGCAGATTGTGGGATAGAAGTGCTTTTTATCTTCTCGTTTTGTTCCCCTTTCACAATCCTGGAAACATGGCAAAATTGGTGGGAAGGTACTCTAAGGCTCTTTAAGTAGAAACGTCAGTCTCCCGTTAATCTGCTAATCTTTTAGTTCTTATTATTGATTCTCACAAATCACAGTTAAAAGACTTACTGTAAGCACTTTAGATGGTTGAGTTTCAGGAGACTTTGATCAGTGTGTAAATTATGCATCCACTGTTTTGAAATATTAACCATGCTGACCCTTTAGTTATCTGCATTCTCCTAATTCTGCTAAGGTGACATCCTATCTTGCAGACTTACCTATTTTGGAATTAATTACATTTTGATATTCCTGAATTAAATCCTTGCCCGTTTGTTTTCTGTTTATTTGTAAAAAGAACTAGGGAGTCTTTGGTCCTTCTTAATCTCTTAATATGGACCAGTCCGGCTAGGGCTTCTGGAGAACTGAATCTCCAGATATCTTGAAGGTAGTGGTTCTCTATTAGGGACCACTCCAGTTGGATCTGCCTGTTTTGCATCCTTTCAGTAGCTGACATAATAGGAAATCCAATACAGGAAGTTACAAACATCTGACTTACAGATGATTCATAGTTAAGAACAGGAGTGAAACAACAGAGAGAAATCTACCCCTCAGAAGGGACATTCTCTCCCGAAAGAGTTATCATGGGGGAAAGGTATCTCCACTGAAGCTTTATCACCAATCCTCATTTCCACAACAAGCCACATTTTTCAAAATCCAGTTATCACAGGGACAGATAGTGAGATGAAATCTTCTCAACAGGAGTACAGACAGCAAAACAAACATCACTGGGGTGTTAACCCTTCCTTATTCCTTCCAAAACACTTTATAAAGTCCTTGTTCCAACTTACTTACAAATTCTGCTTAAAAACAAACCTACAGAACCTTGCCTGTATAGATTTGTTCTCTTGCTTCAGCCTGGCTTTCAACTTTATTCTCTGCTCTCATATATGTTTATTCTGTTAGCTTAAAACCTCTCTGGTCATCAAGGAAAAGAACAACCCCCACAGGAAGTGCCTGTTTGCCCTGCCTTCCCAATCCTAAAGCAAAGTTTTCCCAGAGCAAAATATCCTCCTGCAATGTAACCTGAAAAGTCCCAAACACCATTCATTGACTTTATGTATAGAAAGGCTGCCATAAATTTGAACAACAAAAAACATAATAGCAGCTGTCATTTAACCACAGCAATAAGGAAAAAAAAATATGTTCCTTATAGCAGAGTTGAGGATTATGGAGTCCTCAAGTTATTTTTTTCAGCTGCAGCTCCCATCAGCCTTAGCTACCATGTTGGATGGTGAGCAGTGTTGTGAGCTGCAGTCTAAACAATATCTGTATGGTTCCTTAGTAATACAGATATTAAAATTAAATTTAAAAACCACACCTTATATTTATTATTTACAGTATTTGTAAAATTAAACCCCTGTGCCGGCAGGACTGAAGACCAACAGGTCGCAGGTTCGAATCCGGGGAGAGGTGGATGAGCTCCCTCTATCAACTCCAGCTCCTCATGCGGGGACATGAGAGAAGCCTCCCACAAGGATGATAAAACATCAAATCATCTGGGTGTCCCCTGGGCAACGTCCTTGCAGACGGCCAATTCTCTCACACCAGAAGCGATTTGCAGTTTCTCAGGTCGCTCCTGACACAACAAAAAAAAAGTATTTGTATACTGCTTTTCTCACCCCGAGGGGGACTCAAAGCGGTTATACTACCTTGAGGCCTCCCGAAGATTTCTTCCCTGATGTATTCAGTTATATCTTTTCTTTTAGGACCCTCCACTTAAGATTTCTATTTTGGTGGGCAGACGCGTAAATTGCTAGGGTTAGCTGGTAAGGTTGGCTTATCTGCTCTCCCCTTTTCATTCTGCTAATTCTGGAGGAAGCTGCTGTTTACCTGGCCTGTTGTAGAGAGGTTCACATAAATTGGCTAGAGTAGAATTCCATTATTTACCATGTCAAGCTGTATTGCAGAATTTACTGTCAATATGCTGCTGCAACACAACACCAAACCTCTATATTTTTCCAGCCCTCTTTCTATCCTCCAGTATCACTATTACTTTAAAAATGCAGCTATACAGAGAAACAGAAAGGAAAGATTGTGTAAAAAGACTCTACTTTGTTGCAGGCTTTTTAAACTGAGATATTCCTGTAATAATAACAATAATAATAATAACAATAATAGCAACAGCAGCATATTGACAGTGTTTGGTGTTTTTTGGTGTTACAATTATAGTTACTGATTTTCTGTCTGTGTAATTTTTAAAATACTTCTCCTTTCTGTCCTAGATCCCAACTTCGTTCGAACATTTCTTACAACATATAGATCATTTTGCAAGCCTCAGGAATTGCTGAGTCTCCTGATAGAAAGGTAGGTAGTTTTTCTTATCGAATTGGAATTAACTTTCTTTTACTTTTAGGAGGTTTTTTTCTCTTTGAGATGAATATTTCTGTTTAGAAAGATAGGTCCTGCTTTTTTATGATAGTTGCAGTATGCAAAGGTTAAATTTTGTCAGGCACATTCACAAATCAGAGAAAGGTTATGACTCAAATGATAACTGCACTCCAGCTTTTATCTTGCAATAACACAATTTGTTTGGCAGCTCAAACCTTTTGGTATGCATTTTTTCTTGATAATATACTCTTCTTTTCCTTGCTGAGGAGATTGTTTTCCCCAGTTTTTGAGAAACCTCATATTGCCTTTCTGATTTATAGTGTTCAAATAAAATCAATGTGAGTTTGGTAAAAACATGTTGAAATCGCTTCCCAGATTTGGGTTTAACATTCAGATCCCATTCTCAGGAAGGCTAAAGGAGCAATCTCCAACAGTTAATTCTTCATGCCAGATGATCAGGGAGGAAACCAAAATTGTAAACCATTTTATCCTTTGCTCCTTTCCCTCCTTCCTTCACTTTTTTCTTATCACGCCTTGCCGGCTAGTCAAGAATTATTCTCTCTCTCTTTCTCATTATAATAATTTATTTTAGCATTTTTAGAGCATAGACAGTAATTATGGCAGTATCAGGATATTTGGTTTAAAAGAAGAGAAAAATGACTGAAGTGGGTGAGAACAGAGAAGAGGCATTCAGTTAATATCCGAAGGGCTATGAAAATCCATATTTACAGAAAAGAGAATTTAAACACATGGAGACATTCCTCATTTCTTTCCATCCAAGGATGTTTGTGAGTGCAATTGATTAGAACAATGATCATTACAAGAGCTACAAGGCAACATCTCCTTTGGAAGATGTATACAAACAGCTGAATGAAAGGAGACATCAGTGTTCATAATGCATTATGAAGGTTTAAGACAGCTGGTAAATCAGCAGTTATAAGATCTATCAACCAAAAGGTTGCAAGTTCGAAGCCCCGGGTTGGCATGAGCTGCCAACTGTCAGCCTAGCTCATTGTTTACCTAAGCAATTCGAAAACAGCTTTAGTTGTGATTAGCGAAATTAGGTACCGCTAAAAACTGAGGAGGTGTTTTACAATACCATAAAGAAAGAAGATCAGAAAATGCTGGGCGACCAAAATGAAGGAGGAAGTCCTGATGGCTCTTCATCATAGAGGATAGCGCAACAGCACCCCCTGGACTCGAGCCCAACCTTCCATGGCACCAAAAACAGCTGGACACTGTTTCAAAACAAACCACCTCCTTCTGTTGTCTGTCTGTCTGTCTGTCTGTCTGTGTATTGTCTTTACAAAGCGGCATTGAATGTTTGCCGTGTATGTGTACTGTGATCTGGGCGGAATATAAAATTATTATTATTATTATTATTATTATTAAGTGGATACATTTAAGTTAGGTCAGGCCTTTGGATAAATGATTTGCAGATGTAGCTCAAGATTTTAACTAACTATTCCAACCCTTAAGGGATGTATATCCAAATAGTTGTGGATTGTTCCATTAACCTTCCTGAAAATCAGAGGTTGATGTATACAATTAATACTTATTTTAAGAAGGTTGAAAGTGCAATCCACCCCTACTCATGGCTGTATTTTTTTTTAAATTAAAATTGAAGGGAAGAGAAGGTCTGACAGTTTCTAACTTTTGAGCCTCAATCTAAACGGGTTTAATGTTCAGATCTGGTAAGGATATTTAACAAAATTGAAGGAGAGAGAGAGATGAAGCATCAGAAGAAGAAAAACAGTTTAGAATTTTGGTCTCCTGGGTTGCTCCTTCAGCCTTACTGTCATTCACAGTAATTATCATCCTATGATTTACATAAATACATTACCAAGAAAAGTAAGTACAGTTTGCTTTCTGTGGGTATGAAGAGCATTTATACACCTTTCACTATATTTGATACACACATTTTATAGCACATGTATATTATCATATAATATTTAATGTCATGTTTGTTGCACCTTTGTACTTTGTGCAGCTGTCTTTATGGGTATTGTACCTACACTACCTGGAAAACTTTAAAATCTATAGGGATTGTGGCCCATCTATCATGACACTTCCTGACTGGTGAAGATGAAGTGATGCTATCTTTTTTGTTCGTTGTGTGTATTATTTAACATCTTCAAGTTCAGCATCATTCATGCTTGATTATCTGGATTTCCTTTCCCAATCCCACATTAGGTTTGAAATTCCAGAACCTGAACCAACAGAAGCAGATCGGATAGCTATGGAGAATGGAGATCAACCTCTCAGTGCAGAGCTCAAAAGGTTTAGAAAGGAATATATACAACCTGTACAACTGCGGTAAATATTGAGACACATAAATATTTTTGCATGAGTCTTTCAAACTGGAACATGTGAAACTGTTGCTTATTTTAGACTGAACCTACTTTTAAAAATTAGTAGCCTGCATCCAAAGGTTTGTGTGCAGTGTTCCATATGTATGCATCGGACCTTTTAATTCACCTCTCTGTGCCATGGCATTTTCTGAAAGTTTTTCCTTGGGCCTTGGGAGGTTTTGTAGAGTTGCGTTTCATGTAATAGGAAAGGTCTGCAGGCAGAAGAAAACAACAACTGTTAACTCCTGCCCACTAATGCATGTACTCCTGAAAAATACTTGCATATATATGAGGGTATTTTAAAATTTTTGATGTTAGCATCTGGATGCTCTTACTATGGGCTATTCTGGCCTTCTTTTATCCCCTGACCATAAATGTTAGAAACTGGTAGTTTATTTAGATTATGAATGGTCAAGTTGCCCAGGTTCAAGGGCTACACACATTTTTTATGGACTTGGGAGGGCTGTACTTCACTCAAGTTACCCCAAGCACTCACGCTTCCCCTACAAATGAAGAAATACTCATCAGTTTGGATCACTGTCATAATCAGGCCTTCATGATAATTCAGTTTTAATGCAGCTTTTTTTCCTCATAACCAGAATTCTTTAAAGGGGTAGTGATATCCCCACTGAATGACAGATAATCCTTTACAATCTCTGGAGACTGTATAAATTCCATATTTGAGTGACACCTCTGCCATTTCTGTGTGTGCCATGCATGTTTGCTATTGCTATACCCTAAGAAGAACCATTGGTTTAGCCAATGGGTTAGCTGGAGACTGCTCGCATTGGTTTGATTTGTTGGCAGTGTTGACATTCTCCTTTACTCTTATTCCATTCTTATTAGAAACTGGGGAAATAAGGGAGGCCAGTAGTGTCATCATTCTAGTCCAAGCCAGGCAAATCAAGGTAGTGTTTTCATTGACGGATATTACAGCAATATGGTCCATCCACAAGGGGTCAGTACAGTGTGTCATTGTGCCATTGACTATAGAAGAAAACTAATTCTCCAGCCCTTTTTAGTGTATGGGCAGAAAGATACTGAATAAGAACTAACTTCAAAAATTAATCTTTCTTTTTGTTGTAGAGTTTTAAATGTATGCCGACACTGGGTGGAGCATCATTTCTATGATTTTGAGAGAGATGTAGATCTTTTGCAGCGTTTGGAAGAATTCATTGGCACTGTCAGAGGTATTTTATTGCAACAGATATCTAATATAATTGTTTTGTTTCCTCATAGACTCTTTCAATGAACACGTATGTAATTTGTTATAGACATTTAACATTTGTTATACACACAATTAAAATATTACACAAAATCAAATTTTAAGAAATCTTTTTAAACCGTAAAAATTAAAAATATCACATAAAAACAAAATCTAACCCAGCAATAATAAATCATAGCAATAAATCCATTTGCAGTTCAGTGAAGTAAATGCCCATCTTCTATCCACAAAAGGAGCGAGACTTAACACTTATTCTTTTCATAAATGGACCTTCTCCGAAATGGATTCAAGTCATTGTTTTCAAGTAAGGTTGCTAGATACACATTAATTCTTAAGTGTTTTAAACTTTGATCACAGTTGCTTCTCTCAGCATTTATTTTTAAAAATTTAACTATTATATCTGGCCCGGCCATAGGTTTTAAAATAGCTGCACGTTATTATCTATATGTAAGTTATATTAATTGTATTGTTTTATTTGCTTATTGCTTTGTTGTTTTTACTGATGTGTTGTTGGGCTTGGCCTCATGTAAGCTGCTCCGAGTCCCTTTGGGGAGATGGTGGCGGGGTATAAATAAAGATTATTATTATTATTATTATTATTATTAATAATAATAATAATAATAATAATAATATTAATATTCTGAAATTGGTAAAATTGAGTCTTCCTTGCCAAACACATCGTGGCTTACAGTAACTACCGTGTATACTTGAGTATAAGCTGACCTGAATATAAACCGAGGCACCTAATTTTACCACAAAAAAACTTGGAACGTATTGACTGGAGTATAAACTGAGGGTGGGAAATGCAGCAGCTACTGGTAAATTTCAAAATAAATATAGATACCAATAAAATTACATTAATTGAGACATCAGTAGGTTAAACATTTTTGAATATTTACATAGAACTGTAATTTAAGATAAGGCTGTCCAACTCTGATTAAATCATTATTCTAACCTCCTTCAATGTAAATATGCTTAAGTATCATTCCAATAATAATAAAGAGAGTAAAATAAAAATGTAATAAAATAATAATAGAGTAAAATAAAAGAAATGTAGTAATAACAGTAATAATAGAATAAAATAATAAATGTAATAAAATAATAATAATAGAGTAAAATAATAGAAACATAATAGTAACAGTAATAGAATAAAATAGTATATGTAATCATAATTAATAAAATAAAATAATAAATGTAAGGAATAATAATTTAAATGCATCCGTAATCATAATAATCATAAATAGAGAAAAGTAATAAATGTAATTATTATTATTGTTATTATTATTATTATTATTATTATAACAGAGTAAAATAATAAATAACTTTGACTCAAGTATAAGCCAAGGAAGGTTATACTTAATATCTGTACATATTAGTAAATGTGATCAGCAAAGAAAATGTTGGTCTACCAGCTATTGTTTGCAGACAAAATTTGACCAAGACAGATTGTGTTCATGGGGAAAAGGGAAATAAGCTGGCATCTAGCAGCAGTAGACAAGAGGAAGTATTCTGTGAAATGTAAAATTCCTTGCATACCTCGTGAGCCTCTCCGGGAGCTTTTTTGGTTGAATTGTGGTACATGTATTAGTTAAATGAATAAATACTTGCAGGAGTCATCCCCACAGGGTGTGATAGCCATTCATTATAAATAGATTTAAACAAAGGGATTAGACATTCAAGGGAGATTATCAATGGGACTTCATGGTCAAAGAGAGCATGCCTTTGAATCTAATCACTACATGATAGACACAATCAAAGGGACATCCCCATCATATCCAGCTTTTGAACTTCCCACTGAAATAGAGCCTTCTATTTTTCATAATGGAGTTCTTTTCACTCTCATGTATATGTTGGATAATTTCATTATCAGAATTTTGCTAATGGCAAGGTCAGTTTTTATCAACCATGATGGATGATGTATTTATTTTCATTTTCAGGAAAAGCTATGAAGAAATGGGTTGAGTCAATCACAAAGATAATCCATAGAAAAAAGCAAGCACAAGCCATTGGGCCAAGCCACAATATTACATTTGAAAGCTTACCGCCTCCAGTTGAATGGCATATAAGCAAGCCAGGACACATGGACACATTTGACCTGCTTACTTTACACCCAATAGAAATTGCTCGACAGCTCACTCTACTTGAATCTGAACTTTACAGGTAGATTTCTCCCTACTAAAAGTGTTCTTTGTTCTATATTGTAATCACAAGTAAAATGTTCTTATGCCCTGGTCCCTGATTCTTACTGGCAAGGCAGTTTCACATTTGAGGGACAAACCGCTTAGGAATGATGTTTCAAATTGGAGAAAATATTTAATTTTAAAAATTAGCATTGTATAAAGCAAACTATTCATATTAACCCATTTATTCAGTGTTCTGAATCAGAATTATTCATCAAACTGGGGAGTTTTGTCTTATAGTTTAATCAAATGGTTATTTCATTAAAAAAAACAAATAGCTTTGGGTTTTCACCCCGTATTTTATATTCATTTTTTTAGAGCTGTGCAGCCATCCGAGCTAGTGGGAAGTGTGTGGACAAAAGAAGATAAAGAAATCAATTCTCCTAACCTGCTCAAGATGATAAGACATACCACCAATCTGACCTTGTGGTTTGAAAAGTAAGTAATTTGAGTGAGGAGTGGAGCATCCTGAGATTTCTGTGTTTGGATTTACTAGTGTCCCAAAATTCAACAAGACAATTGGTTGCATCCAGGAGTGGCAATATGCAGGTTAAACAGTTTATATCCTCTTCAAACTATTCTTTAAAAACTAAATCAAACCAGAAGTGAAATTTTGACCACTTACAGGTTTTTTTTTCCATTTCCCTTTAAAAAAAAACAATTTTCTATCTAATAACCTCCCTTTCTATCTATCTGCAGCACAAAGTAGGTCACTAATCCTAGAATTTGCCCTTGAGCCCTTAGAACAGTGGTTCTCAACCTGGGGTCCCCAGATGTTTTTGGCCTTCAACTCCCAGAAATCCTAACATCTGGTAAACTGACTGGGATTTCTGGGAGTTGTAGGTCAAAAACATCTGGGGACCCCAGATTGAGAACCACTGCCTTAGAAGCTGTCTACTTCTTAATTAAGGTTCATATCATTCTATCTTACCTACTATCTGAAGAATTGCTTCTCATCACAATACATTAATACATTTCTCTGGTCTTGTATACTTGCAGTCTAGCTTAGAACATCTGAATTTTGCATCTGAATTTTATTGCTCTTGACCTATTTCTTTACAATTAGAAGTGTGGTACATGTGGGAATACAGAGATGGGCTTGAAGTGATTCTTTTAATTTTAATTCATAAAAATAGATTCTCACAATCAGATGTTAGGAAGATAGGTGACATGTCTTTTTGGTTTTGTTCTTCTGGCTCACATGAGAAAATGACATTGTTTTTCCTGCTACTTTAGGTGCATTGTAGAAACGGAAAATCTAGAAGAAAGAGTTGTTGTAGTGTGCCGGATAATTGAGATCTTGCAAGTTTTTCAAGAGTTAAACAACTTCAATGGTGTTCTTGAGGTTGTCAGTGCTATGAACTCTGCACCTATTTATAGGCTGGATCACACATTTGAAGTAAGTCAAACGATGAATGTTAACTCCTGCAATATATTATTGCCTTGAAAGAACAGGTGTATCATTTCTTTAAAAACAAAAAACTACAACTGCTGGAATTTCTATGTTGCTCTTGAATCTTATTATACTCCATTTTCTTTAAATAGACATATTAAGTTAAAACACTAGCAATGTGCAGCACAAATGTTCATTATTCAGGGGAAAAATAAAGCACCAGTACTTCCTTGTTTTTTTGGCCCAGAGTCTTTTCCATATCAATCCATTATTAGATTTATGTATAGATACTGGATGGATTTTAGCTCACTTCATGGCCAAAGTGTAGAGCTATAGTAACTTCTGGTTTGTTTTTGGAGCAAAATATAACATTTTTCTTATATTGCATATCTACAGCAAATCCCAAGTCGCCAGAAAAAGATATTTGAAGAAGCTCATGAACTGAGCGAAGATCACCATAAGAAATACTTAGCAAAACTCAGGTCTATCAATCCTCCTTGTGTGCCTTTCTTTGGTAAGTAAGATTTTATTCTTGATTATGAACATAAAATCACAGATCCTGGTGCTTAAATTCATATGAAGTGGGAAAGTATGGTTTCTTAAATACATTGCAGGTATGTGGCATTGTCCAGAATTTCTAATATGCTTATTTGGAATTAATAAAGAATAAACATTACGCCCTCATGCTCCCCTTTACTGCTTCTTGAAGACTTCTAAGGTTTTGTTACGCCTTACTTTCCTGTTACATCCAATCAAACAAAACTGCCTTCTTTTCTAATCACATGAAGAAAGTGCCTGAGGAAGCAAAGGTGAAGAGTTAAGCAGGGACAGAAGCATGTACTTAGGCTTATTTTATAGCAGGCATTGGCAAACTTTGGCCCTCCAGGTTTTTGGACTTCAACTCCCACAATCCCTAACAGCCTGCTTTATAGGCTTAATTATTGATAGGGCATTGGAATTATTGGGCAGTTCCAAAAGAGTCTTAGGAAAGGGGGTTTTGAGAAAAGAAATCTTGCAAAAGAAATAAGAGGTATTATCATCTGATATCTAAAGAGGCAAGTCCAAAAATAACAATTGGTCCATTCAGCAGCAGAACAGAGAGCATTGGTAGAAAGAAATTATTTCCCTTCTTCCCTTAATCTTTGCAGATTTGCATCAGAAGATTAGGATAACAAAAGGTTCTTAGAAAGAGGCCCAAAGACTTGACCTTTGTGCCAGAGATGAGCATCTCCAGAGTGTTGCTGTCTGAAGTAATTGGGCAGAGAATACAGTAGACAAATACACAGAACAAAGTCAGATGATGTTGTTTCTGATCCGCCTTCCCTTCCCCTCCCTAGAATTAATTTCCAGTGGAACACTAGAGCAAGTTTCTAATGCACAGTTTTTACATGTTGTGTTTAGGTATTTATTTAACAAATATCTTGAAAACGGAAGAAGGCAATCCTGAATTCCTTAAACGACATGGAAAAGAGCTGATCAATTTCAGTAAACGGAGGAAGGTGGCTGAGATTACAGGGGAGATCCAACAGTACCAAAACCAGCCATACTGCCTAAGAAGCGAACCTGAAATCAGGGTGAGTAGTGATTTCAGTCTTTCAGGATCAGTTTCTCTTTGGGAGCCATAAGTAAGAACACAAAAGCTGACGTTTCCTTCTGATATGTGATGCCAGTTCTGTCGTCTCTAAATGTATGTTCAGCAAAGTCCTTAGTGTAAGTAAACTTATTCCCAGACCTATAGAGATTCCATTGACTGTGTTTATGACATTGTAGAACCCTTTTCGGCAGAATTCAAGGGAATCCTAAACCATTTCTAACAGTGGTTCCCAACCTTTTTTTGACCAGGGACCACTTGAACAGGGACCACTCTCCAACATTAGTACCAAAAGGGTTACAAATCAGTTTTTGGTCAACTTTAGATTTGATTTGGTTATTTGGGGTGCTGATTCAGACAATTATATTGGATAKACCACATCAGCTCTAGTTTCTGATATAGAGCATATGCCATCCAGTAGTCACCATCTGCTCGCCCACCAAAAACCATATTTATTAATCTATAGCTGATGTGGTAGTAGTAATCTTTCATGTTGGGAGGGGAGAGGGCTTCCACAGTAGTCATCCTCTCTCCTCTCAACATCTCCGTTTCCTTGGCACTATAAGAGGCTTTCGCAAGACCAGTCGCTCTCGTCGCCACATGGTTTCRAGGCAATGGTTGTTCCAGTGTGCCTTCCCAGAATAAGGAAACTCCCAGCAATATGTCCCTAAACGCACTTTATTCGTGATYTAGGATTGTCTCCAAMATTTCTATCCTGGTTATATGTCACCTGGTCACGCCCAGCATTATTTTTCAAAATTTTAATTAGTACATTTGGCCCTGCCATAGGTTTTAAACGTTGTTGTGTTATTGTTAATGTTTATTGCTATTTTCTGTTTATGAGTTTTATTTATTGTTTGTATTTATGTTGCTATTGTTTTTATTGTGGGCTCGGCCTCATGTAAGCCGCACAGAGTCCCTTGGGGAGATGGTAGCGGGGTACAAATAAAGTATTATTATTATTATTATTATTATTATTATGTTGAGGCCATGGACCATACTTTTATTCTTGCGGACCACTGGTGATCCACGAACCACAGGTTGGGAACCACTGATTTAAAATCAGATGCACTCAGTCAGTGTGCTACAGTTGAAAGCAAAAAGAAAGGACCACAGTCCTTTTAACTCTTCCTCTCACCCACACAATTTCTTGATGGGAAATGCTAATTTATTTATAGCACAAGGATTGAAATCCTGGGACTTCCACAGTCGAATAAGGAGGAGGACCCAGCAGTCTTTAGATCAGACATGGGCTTTCCAGCACCTACCAGCTGTTAGGAATTGTGGGAGTTGAAGTCCAAAACACCTGAAAGGGCCCAAGTTTGCCCATGTCTGCTTTAAATTCACCAACAAAAAACAGTTGCTGGAAAGTTTGTAGCCAGTGCTTTCAGGCGCTATGTTACACTATATTAATCTTGCGTAATGTTTTGGGTTACAGAAATTTTTCGAAAACTTAAATCCAATGGGAAATAGCATGGAAAAAGAATTTGCAGATTCTCTGTACAATAAGTCTCTACAAATAGAGCCACGTAATGCGAAGCCTCCCCCAAGATTTGTGAGTATTCAGATTTTATTTTTATGTTGGTTATAAATCTCAGTTGCTTTCATTGGATATACCTGTAAAGTGGGGGGAAATAGTTTTCTTTAAAAATATATAAACCATAACTTGCCCTGAAAAAAGTTTCCATTAATTATTTTGATTTTATTGCAGCCCAAAAAATACAACTATCCTCTTAAATCTCCGGGTATTCGTCCATCTAATCCAAGGCCAGGCACCATGCGACATCCTACTCCTCTGCAACAAGAGCCAAGAAAAATCAGTTACAGCCGTGTTCCTGAGAGTGAAACGGAGAGTGCGGCTTCCGCACCAAACTCTCCCAGAACCCCTCTCACCCCGCCCCCTCCATCCTCCACGTCCAGCACCACTGACGTCTGCAGCGTCTTTGATTCTGATCCCTCAACTCCTTTTCATTCAAGTAAGTGCCATGGCTAGGATAATCTTTTCCTCCTTTTTAAACATTCTGAGTATGTTGAATGATAGTGCTATACATTAAAAGGGATTTGGTGATCTAAAACTTGCATTTGTAAGAACAGATTATGTTTCTCCTGAGCAAGGCAGGATATGATTCATGTTCAAGGCATAATTTAGAAATGGTGGCGGAGGTATATAGCATATTAAGCAAACAAACCCAGATTGCTGTAAGTACATAACTAGGCTTTGTCTAGACCAGTGTTTCCTAAAAATTGAAGTCCAAAATAACTGGAGATCGAATGTTTGGAAATCAGTGGTCCAGACATTCCTGGCAAAGATAATTGTCTCCACTGTCCATTTAGCAGGATGGATTCTACAAATGTACAAAATTAATTTGGTTTCAGAAATATATGCGGTGCACTTGGTTTAATTTAACTTAACTTCCAAATCTTTGCCTTTTGTAGTAGTTGCTTTTTGAGATGACTGCTGGTTAAAGCCCAATTTCATGATACCATCATGAATCTTCTTTGACATTTTGACATTTCTCCTGCCTCTATACTGCAAGCTCTGTAAAGTAAACACAGTATTTACTTAATTATAATCTACCATCAAATGTAATACCCACCTCAGTTTTGAAGGTGGACATTTGAAAAACAGGATTTGTTGCCCAAGGTAATGCGCCCAAGTTTGGAACTCCACAAGGCTGGCGAAGGGATGTGGCTTCCCCTTGCCCGTTGGTCATTGCCCCCTGCCTCCCTGCCGACAGGTCTAATGGCACAGGCAGAATGGCCAAGAAGCAAGGGGATGCTGTGCCTTTATTCCAGCCTGGCATGGTTCCTCATGGTTCCCAACTTCACGAGACCTTCAAAAGCTCCCCCTTGGTTTTGAAGGCCTCCTGAATGTGGTCAGTTAAGAACTCAGCCTGACGGAGGGGATTAAGCAGGTTTATGTGTGCAATTCTAACGTTCCATTGAATTTAATGTGTACATTAGACTCGAGTAAATACAGTAATCTGTTCTTGCCGATCTGTGAATATCAAAAGAGTTCCTTGAAATGCAAATTGCTAGGACTGTTTATTAGGGGCCTGCAGTTGTATCAGGTATGATAAAATTCACACAAATGGTTTCTGCCATTTTTCCTTTTCATGGTCTCTGATTCACACAAATGAATCTCTGTAATTCTTTGTGGCCTTTGTGATTTTTTTTCTGCACAGTGCATCATTCTGAACTTTTTAGAGGTCCCACATAAGCATTTTGGCAGTGGCATACCAGTGCGCTTCCCACCTAAACCCTTAGTTCTTTTTCATCTGCCATTGCAGCAGCATTGAGAGGAATGTTCTTTAAGCTTTGCTGTATTTAATTTCTAGTTTCTCTGACTAGATTGTCTCTTTCATTGTTGTTCCGTTTGATTGTCATTTTGGCTCAACTTGGATTAGAATTCGGATTCTCCATTGTCTTTGAAATTGTTTGAAAACATCCGTGTGTTTAGATAGAACAGCCTTGCAAAGGAACTGCATAAATTTGGATTGTGATTATATTGATGGCTATTATCTGATATCTTGCTAATATTATTAGGTTGGACTTTGCATTCAGCCTTTAACAGGTTTTGCTATATCTCTCCTCATTATCGTTTTTATTTCTTGAGTAAAACATTGTTTGGCCCAATCAACATAATTATTGCAATATTTTTTTAAATAACAAAACCCAACAAAAAACTCGTTTTATTGGATGACTTGGTTTGTAGGCCTGTTGCTGGGGTTATTTGGGGGTGCTGATCCAGAAAATTGCATTGGATAGACTGAATCAGCTCTAGTTTCTTAGATATGATGATCATTGTTTTTTTATGGTTGAGCAGTTGTCCACTGATCTCAAAAGCTAGAGCTGATATGGGGGAACTGGTACCATTTTTGGAATCAAATATGCCCAGAAACAAGGCTGACCTTTGAGGCATCAAAATGTGTGTTGGCCAGTGAATTACAGTGACAGTTCATAATATCATCGCAACTTGGAAGAGGGAAGGCCTTAAGTGTAAAATAAGGGATAGCCTTATTAATATTTTACATATTGTATTTTACCAAGCTATGAAGTTATTGGACCCTGATGGCGCAGCAAGTTAAACTGCTGAGCTGCTGAACTTACTGATTGAAAGATTGGTGGTTCATATCCGGTGAGTGGGGTGAGCTCCCGCTGTTAGCCCTAGCTTCTGCCAACCTAGCAGTTCGAAAACATGCACATGTGAGTAGATTAATGGGGACCGCCTCTGTATGAAGGTAATAGCACTTCATGCAGTCATGCTGGCCACATGACTTTGGAGGTGTCTGTGGACAATGCTGGCTCCTCGGCTTAGAAATGGAGGTGAGCACCACCCCCCAGAGTAGGACACGACTATACTTAATGTCAGGGTAAACCTTTACCTTTTTACTATGAGGTTATTGGGAAAAGTAAATTAATTTGAGGCGAATAACAATTTCCATATATTCCCAGGATCTGCCTCTGTATCCTCCATAAGCTTTCCCAAAAGTTCCGATGAAATTACTGTTCCCCCACCTATTCCTCCTCGAAGACGCCCAGAATCCGCTCCTGCAGAATCCTCTCCATCAAAGGTAATTTCTCGATTCATTTATTTCTATGGAAACAGTGGGACAGAAATATCTAGTGTTAACCTCTTGGTAGACTTAACAGGGTGTCACTGAGGTACTGAAACTGTTAACAAATTCCTCTTGGTGTTTCAGATTTCTTCTGCACACTTGGACAGCCCCCCAGCGATCCCCCCTCGGCAGCCCACCTCCAAAATCTATTCACCGAGGTACTCGGTGACTGACCGGACGTCCATCTCAGATGCCCCGGAGAGCCCGCCTGTGTTGCCACCCCGAGAACCCGTGCGGACTCCTGACGTTTTCTCTAGTTCTCCTCTGCATCTCCAGCCACCTCCTTTAGGCAGGAAAAGCGAACTCGGCAACACTTTCTTTCCTAACAGTCCCTCTCCGTTCACTCCCCCTCCTCCCCAGACGCCTTCTCCTCACGTTGCAAGGAGGCATTTGCCATCGCCCCCGTTGATACCACAAGACACGGACCTCCATTCTGTTGCTGGGCCCCCCGTCCCACCACGGCAGAGCACCTCTCAGCATATCCCAACTGTTCAACATATCCCAAAGCTGCCTCCAAAAACTTACAAAAGGGAGCCTGCGCATCCGTCAATGCACCGCGATGGGCCCCCCTTGCTGGAGAATGCCCACTCCACCTGAGTCTCCCTTCTGCTAAAGAGAAAGTGCTTGCCCAGGTGCCATGTCTGTTGCTGGCAATAGATGCACTGTACTTTTTTGGCGCCAAGGAGTTGGGTTGTGTTGCTCCTAACACTAAAGACGCTGCAATACATTTGATACATGGTATAGAAAAATATGAATCTTAATAACAGGCAACTTGTCTTGAAAAGGAAAAAACAAACTGTTTCTGTTTGTTCGTGTGATATGCAGGGCACTGTTCTAAAGTCTCTGGACATCTGAATGTACCAGAAATCAGACTTCTTACAGATCTCTTTGGCCAATAAGCAGACACCGTGCTTTGTGTCATATCCAGTGAAGGATGAAAAATATAGTCCTGTAATCATCTGTCCGCTGCAACGTAAGTTCTTGGAGTAACAATATTATGCACTTTTTAAAAATATTTCAAACAAGGAACTTGATAGTCTCCTTAATTTTCTTTTGTTGTTGTTTTGTATTCCCTGTGTTCAAATCATGAATTGGACTGTAAGGAAGATCTGTGGTACTGAACCAGTCTCAAACTAAAGAATAGCACTGTACTGCAGTCCTGTTTACAAACTATTGCTAGTCCATTGTGGGTACCTAGGCTTCACCAAAGAGGTACTTTCCTTCTTCTTCACGAATTTTATGGTGCCAGTTCCAAAAGAAATTCAGCCAGGAAACAGAATGTCCAACATTTGCCTTCTTTAAAAAAAATGAGAGTTTAATCTTAAAACGAATGATACCAGTGACACAAACTGCAAAACAGAGCTAAATTGATTCCTTCATTTAGAAGACTGTTCAATCTAGATTAGGTTCGGTCCTCTTCCTCCTGAGGTTTACTGAGGACCCACTTTATTACGGCTGGTGGCGCAACATCCTGGATCGTGTCATGACAATACAAAGGATGATCGGCTGGCCGTACACCCCCATTAATGATCATCATCATGTTTTAGCTAGCAGTAGGTAAGTGACTAAATAATCAGCGCCCATAGAATTGCCTTGTAGTTGCATAGATAAATCATGTGTATATAGTGAATGTTGCGTATACTTGCAAATTGTTTTTTAATTTAATTGAAATAAAGATACAGATATTTTGTCTGGCTGACATATATTAAATTATTGCATTGCTAAATGTACATTTCAGTTTAAAGCACTGAGGAGAAGACATATTCTGTGGTACACACACATTTTTCTAGCTCATTGTTTTGGTCTATGAGACGTAACGGAAGAAACCCCATGTTTAGCATGTGAAGCAGAGGTGAGTTAGGGGCAGCTTGGAGTCAACATCTGTGTGCTTAGAATGTAATGGATCTTGTGCATGTCAGGCGATACCGAATTCCAAGCTCTGCTGGACCTCATAGACTTTGAAGTTGACCTTTTACAATGTCAGAAATGTTTGAAAGAGACTGATCTACATGAATATCCTTCCTTGGATTATTTATAGACCTGTGAACTGCGCTTCTGATTCCAGTACTGTGATGATAATGCATGCTACTTGTTGAAAACATTTTAATCATCTCCGCTACACTAGGATTTGTGAATGGTGCAGTATTGTATCTTTAGTTACCAAGACTCTTATAGGACATTTTTGGCAAAACCAAAACACATTTCGGCCATCTTAGAAAGCCATGTCAATGAAACAATGTCGGTGGAAGACTGTATCACCGTGGAAGCCTACTGTTCTAATCTATTTCTACAGCTCTATGCAGTGCGGTCTTTGCATTTCAGGAAATGTTTGTTTACTTTCAGTTGCATAGGGTTTTTTTTTAACATGTAGAATTTGCAGGGTCTAAAGAAAGGTATTCTGGAAGAATGGAAGTTTGTATAATGGTAGACTATAAAGGAAGGTTACGCTGAGATACAGTGATGCCTAATAAAAGGAAAGGGATATTTCTAGAAGTGGTTGAACGTTAAAGAAATTTTTTTTGAAATGGTCCTCATCTTAGATCTCTACTGCTTGAGCAACTGGATCAATGGCCAACCATTTGGGAATGCAAGTGGCTCCAATTCCAGTGGTTCCATGCTCCATTCTGTAAGTCGCAGTGGATGCCAGCCCCCAGCCTTTATATTGCTTTAAAAGACTAAAATCTCTCAGCGAAAGCAGCAGGTCATGTCAATCTTTCTGGAACCAACGAGTTTGTCATTTCTCCAAGTTATCTGCCTAAAAGACAGAAGAGTTACCCAATAAACCCACTTCCTTTTAGAGAGGGAAAGAGTCTGGGCTTCAGACTTACTAATTTTATTTACCATATATACTCATATTTAAATCCACCTCACCTATCAATTGAAGGCAGATTTTAGGTCAAGGTTATTCCACAGAGAGGGGAAAGCACCAAGGCATTTAAAAAGGCTAGAAGTGATGTGACGGCAGAGTTGAGGGATTCAACTCTTCCTTTAGTTCCTCCAAAAGCAGGCTAAGCTCTAGTCTTTGGCCACTCTGCTCAGAGAAGGGCATGGTTCCTTATTTGGTAAGAATTAAGGTAGAGTTCTCGCAATGACCCACAGATAAGTCAACCCAGCATATTTGGGTTGAGTTTTTGACTATAATTTCTAGACTTATACATAAGTATATAGCAGGCATGGGCAAACTTCGGCCCTCCGGATGTTTTGGATTTCAATTCCTGACAGTGTTTTAGATTTCAATTCCTAACAGTCTACCGCAGGCATGGGCAAACTTTGGCCCTCCAGGTGTTTTGGACTTTAACTCCCACAATTCCTAACAACCAGTAGGCTGTTAGGAATTGTGGAAGTTGAAGTCCAAAACACCTGGAGGGCCGAAGTTTGCCCATGCCTGCGGTAGACTGTTAGGAATTGTGGGAGTTGAAAACCAAAACACCTAGTGAGTGGTCACCCCACATTTCCAAATATACCTAATTTTTTTCCTAAATATTTCCACCACCCTAAATGTTGATAAAAGTATCCTGCTTGTTGCATCCTAAGTGCCAAATGGTTAAAAGTTGGCTTGAGAAAGGAGATAACAAAGTCAGCACTCTGTTAGAGGACTCTTTGTCATCTTCATAATGTATTAGCGGTTGCAGTAAATTAGCTGCACCGAATTTTAATTTTCTGAGTATGATGGATTTTTTTAAACCCTCTGAAATGGAGTTTGTGGTGCAAAAATGGGCAGTGTTTTAATACAGTCCGTTTTAGTTACGAAGTACTTTGTACTCAGCCAAACCATCCATTATTGTATCCTTTTATTGCCATGTATAAACTACTTGTCATGTTTTTGGCAGTCTACAAAATCTTGTGTCCTTTCCCAGAGGTGAACCTTTTGACTTGTCTTAAGATCTAGTTGAGATTTATAGAGAACGATCCTTAAATTTCTTTATGATATTTCAAACACTTGGGTGAGTCACTAAAATTAATCGAAGCGGAACTTATGCCATTGTACATCAGGCAAAAAGGAAAGGCATTTCAAAAGTTGACTTTGCCAGAGCCATGTAGTTACTGAAGTGTTGATGTTTTTTGTTTTTATTTTTCTTGTTGAGAGAAAAACAAATACATGTTCCATTCTATTGTGGGATTAGAAGAAAATAACAAGCCAATTTTTGGAGCAAATATGCCAAGAGCATTCCCACATATAGTCATGTATAAATTGACTTAACATGTAAGTCGAAGGCTGGTTGTGGGGACAAAATTATGGACAAGCTGAGGTTCATTTCAAGGAAAGGGGAAAACAAACAAAGCCAACATCACTGACATTTTCCCCGCTAGGCAATCCCAATGGCAGCAGGGCAGAGAGAGCCAAGGGGCCGGTGCTCTTTGCCCAGGATAAACTAAGCCAGGCTTGGAGAAACTTGGGCCCTCCTGGTGTTTTGGACTTCAACTCCCACAATTCCTAACAGCCTCGGGCCCTTTCCTTTTCCCCCTCAGCCACTTAAGCTAAGTTTGCCCATGCCTGAACTAAGCTCTTGTCTTTTGCCACTCAGTGAAGGGGAGAAGAATTAAGACACAGTATTTGCATTGACCCATGGATAAGTTGACCCAGGTTTTTGAGGTTAATTTATTTTGACTAGACTTATACAGGAGTAAATACAGTATATTTAAAAATCCGGTCCTAAACATATCCATGTTTTGATGTTGTTATGGTGGGAGTATTCTTTCCTTTCCTGTACCTGTGCTATCATTAGTGAGAAATTCTTGAACAATTGGATATATTAAAAAAAATTCTCATTTTTCCCCTAATTCAGTGGTTCTCAACCTGGGGTCCCCAGATGTTTTTGGCCTTCAACTCCCAGAAATCCTAACAGCTGGTAAACTGGCTGGGATTTCTGGCAGTTGTAGGCCAAAAACATCTGGGGACCCCAGGTTGAGAACCACTGCCCTAATTAACCTGCCAGGTCATACCCAAATATTGCCCCAAATGCCATGGACTCTGCATAGGACCTCACTTGCACAATATGGGGGGGGGGGTTTCTGCCCTACTTCTTTCCTGTAAAATAAGTAGAAATGTTTTGTGGGAGAATTCAAATCAACAATGGGTTGTTGTGAGTTTTCCAGGCTGTACGGCTATGTTCCAGAAGCATTCTCTCCTGACATTTCGCCTGCATCTATGGCAGGCATCCTCAAAGGTTGTAAGGTCTGTTGGAAACGAGGAAAATTGTGAAACGTCAGGAGAGAATGCTTCTGGAACATGGCCATACAGCTCGGAAAACTCACAACAACCCAGTGATTCCGTCCATGAAGGCCTTTGACAATACAGTCAAATCAAAAATGTTCGAATGTCCTGAGCTCTTCGACAGGTAATCATCATTTGGGGGTAGCTTTTATTAGAATGCTTTCCCCCTTCTTGTCTTTCTAATTTGCTTCACCTATTGGCTGTTCCACTCGAGCGACACATAAGACGTCCTCCTTGTTGCTCTTCTCTATTTTAGTAAGTGAAAAGTAGGGACTCGCTGTGAACACCAAGAGGCCTAATCCAGCGAATGGGAAATGCAAGCATTAGATCACATTGTCGCTATCAATTTATTTCAAATTCCTTTTGAGAAAATTCTTTTTCTCTACTACGCAGCAGTTGCCGTAGCCTCATGCTGACGACAAGGGGTAAAGCCAAAAGGCGCTTGGGTTTGTTTTGTGAATGCCATGCCTTCTTTGCCATTTATTTAGAACGACCTTCAAGTGCATTTTTGTCAACTGTGAGGATATTTCCCTTTTGCCTTTATGGAAGTCATAGTGCATTGAGCAATCTGTTATTGCAACAATGCAAGTTAGGTAACCTTTTGAAAACCGTCATGTACCCAGGCGAAAGGGAAACATCTTGTGCCAGAAGTATGCAACTTTCAGTAGCTGCCAAAATGTGCCTTTTTGAAACAAAAATACAGTAAATTCTTTTCTGAAGCGCAGTAGATTTTCCTGTTGGCTGGGGTCTGATTTCAGGTAACATTTTCTTCTTTGGCCAATTTAGAAACCAAGCTTTATGGTTCTGTGTATGTAAAGGTTTACGTTCTGATGAACTTCTGATAATTCATATATTGAAAATGTATTGCCTTTTTGTTTAATGGTGTGGAGACTTTGCTAAATGGTTAAGACGCTATGGCAGTCCGATCCAGCTGTGTACGTTTGAAGTGGTGATATCTCAACTGGCAAATCTTATGGGTCTGTGTGTACCTAATCATGTATGTAGGTCAGCTTTGTATGCTATGTCTGCAATGGTATTCAGATTGCATTTAAACTGAAAATTAATAGTGGCTGTTACTTTTGGCATTCAAGAGATCTGTTCTTAAAAATAAATAAAAATGCCTTACATATCCCATCAGTGTTTATCTTTATATATGTGGTATCTTAGATCTGTCACACCACAACCTAGCATAGATCAGGCACGGGCAAACTTCGGCCCTTCAGGTGTTTTGGACTTCAACTCCTACAATTCCTAAAAACCTACCAGCTGTTAGAAATTGTGGGAGTTGAAGTCCAAAACACCTGGAGAGCTGAATTTTCCCCTTGCTTGTGCTAGAGGTATGCAACTTTCAGTGGGGTTTCTTCTTTGGGTGAGGGTTTTTTTTACATAATACTTCATAATCAATATAACAGGCGTCACACTTCCCTCAGTTATTGCATATACTCGAGTATAAGCCGACCCAAATATAAGCTGAGGCACCCAATTTTACCACAAAACACTGGGATAAGCCGAGAGTGGGAAATGCAGCAGCTACTGGTAAATTTCAAAATAAAAATAGATACCAGTAAAATTACATTACTTGAGGAATCAGTGGGTTAAATGTTTTTGAATATTTACATAAAACTGTAAGATAAGACTGCCCAACTCTGATTAAACCATTCTAACCTTCTTCAATGTAAACGTGCTTACGTATGTTCCCAATAATAATAGAGTAAAATAATAAATGTAATAATAATAATAATAAAGTAAAATAATAGAAATGTACCACTGTTAGCCCCAGCTTCTGCCAACCTAGCAGTTCAAAACATGCAAATGTGAGTAGATCAATAGGTATCACTCCTGTGGGACAATAACACTGCTCCATGCAGTCATGCCAGCCACATGACCTTGGAGGTGTCTGGACAACGCTGGCTCTTCAGCTTAGAAATGGAGATGGGCACCAACCCCCAGAATCGGACACGACTGGACTAATGTCAAGGGAAAACATTTACCTTAATAATAACAGTAATAATAGATTAAAATAATAAATGTAATAATAATAATAATAATAATGTAATAAAATAATACTATAATACAGTAAAATAATAAATGTAATAATAAATAGGGTAAAATAATAAATATAATAAAATAATAACAGAGTAAAATAATAAATAACCTTGATTTGTGGTTCTCAACCTGTGGGTCCCCAGATGTTTTGGCCTTCAACTCCCAGAAATCCTAACAGCTGGTAAACCGGCTGGGATTTCTGGGAGTTATAGGCCAAAACACCTGGGGACCCACAAGTGGAGAACCACTGGTATAAGCTGAGGGGGCGCTTTTTCAGCCCAATAATAGGTCTGAAATCTCAGCTTATACTCGAGTTGTCACTGCTCTGTTATTACTGAGTGTGTTCAGTCCTTATTGGTCAATTTGGGTAATCTCAGATTGCAGGAAAGAGCCATTCAGCAATGGGTTAACTCCCTTTATCAGTTGAAGCCAGAACATGGGATCAAAAATCACAGCCTTTTTTCTGTTGGAAAACAAGTTCTTCCTGTATTTCCTTCTGCTTGGCCCACTTCAGAAGGGAAAGCTCTCTCACGCATATTCTTCACTTCACTGGAGTGTGCTGAATCAGCTGCGTTAATAGTATATTCTATCATTTGTGTCCAAAGGTGTACCGAAAAAGTTTGTTTGAATGATGACAAAAAAATCCTTAGTGGTACACTCAAGAGTTTAATCAAAGAATACATTTCTGGCATTTCTTTGTCCCATCCATTCTGAATATTCCCCCTACTTCGAAAATGGGAGCGATTCCACTGCAAAATTAAAAGATTTAAAGATTTAAAAGATAGCAGCATAGCACCTCTTTACATGTTCAGAGAAAGATCAATAAAAGCCTTTATTATCCATCAGAGTATTGCATTACTCGGAACTAAAAAAAACTACAGTTCAAAATGATATTTCGGATTTTAATCGTATTGACATGAAACCCAGAATGGTTAGGCTACACTTAGGTGTGAGGTGTTCATTTAGATCAGGCATGGGCAGACTTTGGCCCTCTAAGTGTTTTGGACTTCAACTCCCACCATTCCTAACAGCTTCAGGCCCCTTCCTTTTCCCCCTCAGCCGCTTAAGCGGCTGAGGGGGAAAAGGAAGGGGCCTGAAGCTGTTGGGAATGGTGGGAGTTGAAGTCCAAAACACCTGTAGGGCCCATGTTTGCTCATGCCTGATTTAGATCCATCCAAAATGCTATGCACCAAACCAAAATGCTAGTTGTGTAGAAATCTACTCTGAGGTTTCTCCTAATTCAGAGGCAATGACAATAAATGCGTTGAAGGACATCATGCTGTACTTCTTTTACTGTGAAGCCCTGATGGATGGGAAATGGCAATGTGTGAGTGGCAAAATGCACCGATGGGATTTTTCATTTTGGGCCTCAAAAGCTGGGACTTTTCAATTTAACAAAAAAAAAAGACCACCCATTTGAATATTCTGCTATTTCTCCCCTTGAACTTAAAGTCGCTTGAAGCAAAACCGTCATGTTACATGGCACTCAAAGCATCAAATCCGGGGGAAGTGTGGAAGCCTCTTGCCCGGGATCATTTCTTTTTGAAGAGTTTTCGGAAGGAACTGCGGAAGCGCCCTCGCTGTTCTTGCCGTGGGATGTGGCTGCTGAAAGATGTTTGCTCGTTGTCTTCCCTATGAGAGAACCTAGCGTTGTCTTCTAAACGCAGATCCTGAAATGGAAAACACAGGTGAGTCAGGGATATTACTAAAAAAAAGTTGTCCATGTAGAGCAGTGTTTCTCAATGCCGCGACCCCTTAATACTGTTCCTCATGTGGTGACTCCCAACCATAACATTATTTTCGTTGCTACTCCATCACTGTAATTTTGCTACTGTTATGAATCATAATGTAAATATCTGATACCATTAGGAAGTTCTTCATGTTCAGGTGGAATCTCTTTTCCTTTAGTTTGAAGCCATTGTTCCGCATCCTAGTCTCCAGGGCAGCAGAAAACAAGCTTGCTCCCTATGACTTCCCCTCACATATTTATGCATGACCATCATCATGTTTCCTCTCAGCCTTCTCTTCTGCAGGCTAAACATGCCCAGCTCTTTCAGCCACTTTTCATACGGCTTGTTCTCTAGATTCTTGATCAAATGTAAATAAATAGCTCCTTGCATAACCCCAGGAAATCATTGAGAGGGACTAACAGTAGAAACGGGCTGAAGTCTACTTCCCTGTCATGTCATAGCTTGGCGTAATGTCTGTGACTGCAGGAACATAGGATGGAACCCATATCGTTTTCAACATAGTCATTGCTAATTGTGTCTGAGCGTCTGAGGGGGGAAAGGAAAGGGCCTGAGGCCAGGAATGGTGGGAGTTGAAGTCCAAAACACCCAGAGGGCCCAAGTTTGCCCATGCCTGTACTACAGTCATGGAAAGCTACTCATTAGTTATCCTATATATATACTCTATGATTGAAAAAGTGTTTTCAGTTTCCACATGGCATGACTCTGAAAGAGCCTTTCAATTAACCAAACAAGATACCTTTGGAGAATATGTAAGGTCACACTCCCAATTTATCCTTCTGTATCTTGCAATCACTAGGAAGATGCTTTTAACTAGGAAAGGAAGCATTGGGTGTTTTCCCTTGGGCTCATTGCCAGTGAGTTGTCCTCCTTTGCAACTCACTCATATTTTTCCTGCTCGATTAGCATTGTGAGCATACAAATGAAAGCAAAGAGGTGCTCTGAATTCCATGCATCCATTTCCTTTGTCACAATATAGCATTGATGTGTCAGTGATGTCAGGAAGTGTCTCACACATCAGCTTGGTTTTCTGACCAGTGAGACCAGTTTGGTCAGGCTTTGGACATGCAGTGGGAAGAGCTATCATTTTCTTTTTCTACTCACTAACCAGATTATATGCTTAGCAGGCATGTAGCGGGGGGGGGGGGGCTTGAGGGGCTTCAGCCCCCCCCCCCAAATTCTCATGGTGGTTCACGAAAAGGCCTTACTGGGCATTATTTAAACTGTTATGTTTATTCATATCATGATCTGATCACCATACTCAATATATCCCATATGCATGGGGGTATTGGGGTAATGATACAAAAGGTTTGCTAGGGTAGACCTTCTTTCACTCAGACTCAGCCCCCCCCCCCGAAACAAACCCCCCCCAACCCCCCCTGAAAAAAACTCACACCCCCCCCCCCCCCCCGAAATGAAATCCTGGCTATGGGCCTGATGCTTAGTAATCTGTGTAAAAGTCTGCTCAACTAATCATATTTGTTTTGCGGAGTTTCATAACGCTACAAAAGCATGAAACATCAGCACTGTTACAGGCTTGCTTGGATTAATCCCTCGGTTTTTACAGGGAAGCAGCCACCCCTGTCAATGGGGAAGCAAATTACTCTTGCTTCCATCCCTTCCTGTGAGCAATCTCCAGCAAACTGGGAAGAAGCAGAACCCTATCACAATTCCTCCTTTTGCAAGAGGTGATGGGAATGGAAGAGGTGATGGAAGAGGTGATGTCAGTCAGACTGGGGATTGAGAGCGGGCGGTCAGGTTGGGATTCACTATGTAGTGCTATAACTACAATGATTTAAAAACGGCAAACATTTCCCCTTGACATTAAATCTAATTGTGTCCAACTTTGTGGGATGCTGCTCAATTTCATTTCTAAGCCGAAGAGCCGGCGTTGGCCGTAGATGCCTCCAAGGTCATATGGCTGGCATGACTACCTAGCGCATCATTCAAAAGCATGCAAATGTGAGTCGATCAATAGGTACCGCTTCTCACCAGAGCGGTACCTATTGATCGACTCACATTTGCATGTTTTTGAACTGCTAGGTTGGCAGAAGCTGGGGCTAACAGGGGGAGCTCGCCCCCTCTCCCCGGGTTCAAACTACTAACCTTTTGGTCAGCAAGTTCAGCAGCTCAGCAGTTTAACCCACTGCACCACCAGTGGCTCCAACTATAATGATTACACATATATAAACCTACAGAAGATATCCACCCAGTTGCTAGTCTATATAAAAAAAAGTTCATTTGTGGGATTAAGAGAACTCAAAAACCACTGGACGAATTGACACCAAATTTGGACACAAGACAGCTAACAACCCAATGTATGTCCTTCACTCCAAAGAGTTGATTTTGTCATTTGGGAGTTGTAGTTGCTGGGATTTATAGTTCACCTACAATCAAAGAGCATTCTGAACTCCACCAATGATGGAATTGAACCAAACTTGGCACACTGTTCTCCCATGACCAACAGAAAATACTGGAAGGGTTTGGTGGGCAGTGTCCTTTGGTTTTGGAGTTGTAGTTCACCTACATCCAGAGATCACTGTGCACTCAAACAATGATGGATCTGGACCAAACTCTACACGAATACTCCATATGTCCAAATGTGAACCCTGGTGGAGTTTGGGGAAAATAGAATCTTGACATTTGGGAGTTGTAGTTGCTGGAATTTATAGTTCACCTACAATCAAAGAGCATTCTGAACCCCACCAACGATAGAATTCGGCCAAACCTCCCACACAGAACCCCCACGTGGGCCACAGCAATGCGTGGCAGGGGACGGCTAGTTTCTAATATTTTAGCTTTTGCATGAGGTGAGTTTTTAAACACATCTTTTAACTTTTGTTCATGCTAGAAGCCAACCAGTTCTAGATACTACAATAAGTGGGACTACCTGGCAAGGAATTACCTTAAAATCACTTCTGTATGGAGATCAAATGGGATGTATCATACACATTCATGTATACATCAATCTCATGTATAAGTTGAGGGCAGATTTTGGGGGCAAAATCATTTTTTGCGATGACTGATCGATAAGTTGCTCATGGGAAAGCATCAACACTGGTCAAGGGGCCATTTCTCTCTCCACTATGGCACCACTTCTGACCTTTATGAATGCCTAGGAGGGGAATGCCATTTTCCCTCCTAGGCATTCATAAAGGTCAAAAGTGGTGCCATAGTGGAGAGAGAGTGAAAGGGATCCATGCTTTTTCTTTTTGCCTTTTAATTCCCCCATAATGGACTAACCTCTGTCCTTTTGCCACTCCACTCAGAGAAAGGAAAGAATTAAGATACAGTACTCACAGCGACCCATGGATGAGTCCACCCACTTTTAGGGGGTTAATTATTCTAGACTTATACATGAGTATATAGGGTAAGTGTAACCAAAAAACAAACACGAATCTCGGGGCACTTTCCCAGGACAGCCCTCACCCCCCTTTTTTCCTCATAGCGTGTGCCCAGCTTACGTGTTTTTCAGACCCTGATGGGAAGTGGGTTTGCCCTTGCCTTTCGCTCTCCTTACTTCCACAAAGCTCTGCTTTTCACCCACTCCTCGCTGTGGAGGGAAGTAGTTCCGCTGGGCGCTCCTGGGGGCAGCGGCAGCAGGGACTCCGTGGGGCTGGAAGCCCCTCTCCTGTTTGCTTGGCAGCCGGCTCCCACTGCTGCTCCGTGTGCTGTAGAGCCTCGCGCTGATGTTGTCCGTTCCACTGCGGGGAAACTCCTTCAAGGACCGGCTCAGCTGTTTGCCTTTGCTCCGGAAAAGCTCCCTCTTGTAAGTACTGCTGCTGGCGTTGCCCGGAGCCCCGCTCTTGGGCAACGGCTGCAAAGTGTGCTCTGTCCTTTCCGGCTCCGTGGTGAAGTTCACGGGCCTCAAGAAACAGATGTCGATGCTGGACTCGGAAGAAGCCGGAGAGCGGGTCTCAAAGACGGCCAGGTTCTGAAGGGGCTCTTCCTGGTAGGGGCCACCCATGCCATAGGTCTCCCCTCTGTACTCAAAGTCTTCATAGTCGGGTGCGAAACCTGCACTGTGATGGAGAAGCTCTGAAGTGGAGGCCCTCCGATGGCGCTCCTGGTGTCCCTTCACTTCAGGTAGAGGAGGAGGAGCACTGTACTCCATGTCTGGCAGGGCCTGGAGAGATGCCGCGATGGTCTTCAGGTCCTGGTCATTGAACTGAGAGGAAGTCAGGGCGTTCTCTGCCCTGTCGTGCCTCCTTCCCTCGCTTTCCCATTCGCCCGAGGGCCCTCCCTGCATGCCCTCCATCCCTTGCTGTTGACTCTTCTTCATGTGGGACATCAAGTGCCTTCAAAGATAAGAAAGAAAGAGGACAGAGTTAAGCATTCGGCTAAGTGAGCTAGAGAAACAAAAGAGTAACCTCAGGATGTAATCTGAGACAATATCTTACTAATTATGGTGGGAGCTTTGAGATGGTTGAACAGAAGCTTTAGGTGCTCTTACTGCCTATTACAGGGAAAACCAGCTGATTCCTAATCCATCTAAAACGCAGACATGTGCTTTTCACCTGAAGAATAGACAAGCATCTCGAGCTCTGAGGATTACCTGGGAAGGAATCCCTCTGGAGCACTGCAGCACACCCTTATATCTGGGAGTTACCCTGGATTGTGCTCTGACTTATAAGCTTGAATATCAAACAAAAAGTGGGCACTAGAAACAATATCATATGAAAGTAAAAATAATAAAAATAGTAATAATATACGAAAGCTGACTGGCACAACCTGGGGATCACAATCAGACACAGTGAAGTCATCTGCCCTTGTGCTTTGCTATTCTGCTGCTGAGTACACATGCCCAGTGTGGAACATCTCTGGCCCATCCTCTGTTCGGATATCAGCCAGCATGCCAAGGCCTTAAATCAAGAAATAGTTTTCTAAGATCTACAGAGACTCGCAGGAACACCTCAGCAAGCGAGAATCCAAAAGTGGCAGGCTCAAACCCTGAACCTGATATTGAATGAGAAACTCCCTCCTGGGCACACAGAAGACTGGGTGACTTGGAAACCACTGAATAGACTGTGCTCTGACACCACGAGATGCAGAGCCAACTTTAAGAAATGGGGCCACAAAGTGGAGTCCACAACACGCGAGTGTGCAGAAGAGCAAACAACAGACCACCAATTACAATGCAGCCTGAGCCCTGCCACATGCACACCTTCTTATAGCAACACAAGACGCACTACAAATGGCCAGATACTGGTCAAAGGACATTTAGTAGAATGCCAAGTTTTTAAACTTTGTGTTTTTAAAATACATTACAACTCTACCCTCAATACATAATGTCAAGTTTTAAAAATGTGTGCTTTTTTAAAAACCTTGGTTCACTCCTGATATGATAAATAAAAATAAATAAAATGGTGAGTATCTTCTGAAAATCAAGTTCCACTTGCAGACTCTGTTAGTAACGCTATAGCTCAGTGGTGGAGCCCCTGGTGGCACAGTGGGTTAAACCCCTGTGTCGACAGGACTGAAGACCGACAGGTCGCAGGTTCAAATCCGGGGAGAGGTGGATGAGCTCCCTCTATCAGCTCCAGCTCCTCATGCGGGGACATGAGAGAAGCCTCCCACAAGGATGATAAAACATCACTTCATCCGGGTGTCCCCTGGGCAACGTCCTTGCAGATGGCCAATTCTCTCACACCAGAAGCAACTTGCAGTTTCTCAAGTCACTCCTGACATGACCAAAAAAAAGCTCAGTGGTTCCCACCTTTTGGTCCTCCACACACACACACGCACACATATATATATTACTTCAACTCCCAGAAATCTGAGCCAGTTTACCAGCTGTTAGGAATTGTGTAAGCTGAAGTCCAAAACACCTGGAAGACCAAAGATTGGGAACCACTGCTATAGCTAATGGCTTATCACAGTAACATCCAATAAAAAGCAAAATCTATGAGAACCAAATAATACCGTATTTCTTCAATTGTACGACACCCTAATTTCAGTACCACCAACAGCATCAAAAATACATAAGATACACCTTTTGATTCTAAAATGACCCCATTTTTAGAGATGTTTATATAGGAGGAAATGTATTTGAATTTAAGAAATATTGTAATAATAATACAACTTATAATAGTAACAAATTAATAGAACATGGATCAAAACAGGAATTGAAAGAAATGCCAAAAGCACAATGGCAATAAGTTATCTTACCACCAACACAATAGCAGAACTACAAAGAAACTGAAAGGGCAAAGACAAAAGGAGGTGTATATCTAGTATTGATAAAGCAGAAGCCAGTTGAATTTTGCATAAGGAGACAATGTAACAGCAATGGCTTTCTTTTTGAAGAAGCCTAACTTTCAGATATGACCAGCTGCTATCAAGTGATGGTCACTGAGCAGGACTTCTAATGTTGAGCTCAGGGCTCACAAAGGAGAAGTCATGAAAAGGTGCCTTTTCGGATACCGGTTTCTTGTGAGAGCCTTGTACTCACATAGCTGTGGTTCCAGAAGAAGATGGGAAGAGTTGCATGGCCTCTTCAGAGTGGATCCCACTATCACGGATGGATGTTGCGCTTGGGGTCGGAGACACATCTTGGCCAGTGTTGGCACACTGAGAAGCTAATCCTTTATACAACTTAATGAAGGAAGATCTAGTAAAATGGAGATGCAAATATAGTACAACCGTTAGTTAAATATAGTACAACTGTTCATTAAATAATCAGGCAGGCAGGCACCACTTTAAAAAAACAAAACAGCAATATTATGTTATTTCCACACAAATAACATTGGCAAAGAATTCTACCATGTCACCTATTCTACAATTTCAGACAAACCGAGAAAATGCCACAAATGTGTTCTGGAGCACAGGATAGGGATCAATTGATAAGAAGTTTCTCACTCTTGCAGCTATGAAAATATGCTTGAAAAGCAAAAAAGGTAAAGTACAATTTATCAAACTTCTGTGCTCCAAACCACATTTGTGGCATTTTCTAGGTTTGTGTGAAAGATGACATACTGTATAGGTAAAGGTAAAGGTTTCCCTGGCATTAAGTTCAGTTGTGTCTGACTGGGTGGTGGTGCTCATCTCTATTTCTAAGCTGAAGAGCCGGTATTGCCCATAGACATCTCCAAGAGCATGTGGCCTGCATGACTGCAAGGAGCATTGTTACCTTCCAACCCGAGCGGTACCTATTGATCTACTCACATTTGCATGTTTTCAAACTGCTAGGTTGGCAGAAGCTGGGGCCAACAGTGGGGGCTCACCCTGCTCCCCGGATTTGAACCGCCAACATTTGGTCAGCAAGTTCAGCAGCTCAGCAGTTTAACCCACTGTGCCACCAGGTGGCCCTGAAGTACTGTACACATTAATCAAAATCAAACCATAGAATTACGCCATTTATTTTCTTGTAATTCACAGGTGCCCAGATACAGTTGGGAATCATAGTATCATGCTAAAGTCCCTGTAAGTTCAATATATCTGATGCGGGAAGAATCAAACAGTTTACACTTGGCTGCTAGTTCAACATCATCTCAAATCAAGAGGTTTCTAAGCCAAATTCTGAAACCTAATAGAGATGCATTCAATACTCATTACAAGAGTTCACAGCTTGTCATTCATATTATATTTGGTGGAGGGAGGAGTAATAATAATAATAAAACTTTATTTATACCCCTCCACCATCTCCCCAAGGGACTCAGAGCGGCTTACATGAGGCCAAGCCCGACAACACATCAATAACAAAAAAGCAATAAACAAAAACAATACAATGAATATAAGTCACATATAAACAATAACACACAAAGATTTAAAAACCTATGGCCAGGCCAAATGTAATAGTTTAAAATCAAAAGATAAATGTTGGACATGAACAAAGGTAGGTAAAGCATTTCCTTATTTGTAAATGAAGACAGAAATGTTATGTAAGGGACTAGGATTTAGATAGTATTTATTCCATGATACTTTGCATTAGAAAGGATATCGGATTGAGGAGAAAGGGGCCAGCTTGTTTTTTGCTGCTCTCTAAAACCAGGACATTATGGACTATGGATTCAAATCACAGGAAAAGACTTCCTAAACATTAGAAAGAGCTTCCTGATGGTTAGAGCTAGTCAATCGTGGGATATGCTGCCTCAGAGGGTGGTGGAGTCTCCTTCTCTGGAGGTTTGTAAGGAGAGGCTGGATGGCCATCTGTCGGGGATGCTTTGATTGTGTTTTTCTTCATGGCAGATTGGAGCTGGACTGGATGGCCCTTGGGGTTTCTTCTAACTCTATAAGTCCATGCTAGGGAACAGTGTTGGGCTCGACTTCAGTATTGTGACATGTAAACAGAGAGCTCTCAGGCAGCTCAAAAGCCAATAGGATGGCACAACCAGAGCGTTAGAACAGAACTGGGGAGATCAAAGCTCAATTGATGTCAATCATGGAGTTGACCGAGTGGCCGTGCACTGGACCACAATTCCCCGCGTAACCTAACTCACGAGATCACTGTGAAGGCCACTCAGAGCTCCACAAAGAAAGATCTTTTCCACATGAGGGTGAAAGAGAGGCTGCTTTGCATCACAGGACTTACTTCCTCAGCTTTTTTCGTTTCTGTATCAGCAGGTCTTCATTGCATTGGAAAAGGAGGCTGTAGTGTGAGATGAACACTCTCAGGCGCTGAACGCAAACAAGGAGAAGGTAGTAATCGGGGTGTTCCTGCTCGGTGAACTTCAAGATATTCTAGGGGAAAAGCAACACAACTGTAGTGAATTATAGCCTTACTCCATTGGGTTGAAAACAATGTCAAGAGCCACAAAAAGATAGAAAGGTTTATCTTTGGAGGGTTAGGTCTGCAATTCAGTGGTTTACATGCAACTCCTAGCATCTCCAGGTCAGTCTTAGGGCACATCTACACTGTGGAATTAATGCAGTTCGACAGCACTTTAACTGCCATGGATCAATGCTATGGAATCTGGGGAGCTGCAGTTTGGTGAGGCACCAACACTCTTTGGCTGAAAAGGCTAAAGGCTTTCTAAAATGTCCAATGTCGTTGAACTCCAACTCCCATTATCCTTGCTCACTGGCTATTTAAAGTCCAACATTCCAAGTGTCATAGTCCCTTAGATTTAAACACAAGGCAATGGTCATAATTGACATCTTAGGACAGTGGCTTCTTTGCCCACAGCAAGCGTAGTAGAACTAACCTGCAAATGAAGAAGGTATTCAGGAATACGCTGAACAATATGAAAGAAGACTATGTAGAGATCAGACTTAATTTCATCCTCAATCTATTGGTGATAAGAGAGAAAAGAACAATGAATACATAGGCAAACATTCAATGTCTTTACAATAGTATACAACAGGACACACAAATACAAACAAAGACAAAGGCTTCTCCTTTCATTTCCGGCTTCTGGAGACAGTGCTCATCTCTGGCTCTGGGGAGATGCTTTCCTCTACTTTCAAGCTTAGGAGACTGCGTTGTCATCTCTTGATTGTCTGTCCAGCAAGATTGCTTGGAGCGTCTCTTTGCCTTTTCCCACCAAAGTGGTACCTATTTATCTGCTCACATTACATGTTTTAGAAGTGCTAGATTGCCAGGAACTGGAGCTGACAGGACCTCACCTCGTCTCACTGATCGAACCACCAACCATCAGGTCAGCAGTTCAGCCACCTTCAGGTCAGCAGTTCAGCAACACAAGGGTTTGACCCAATGGTTCTCAACATTCCTAATGCCCCGACCCCTTAATACAGTTCTTCATGTTATGGTGACCCCCCAACCAGAAAATTATTTTTATTGCTACTTCACAACTGTAATTTTGCTACTGTTATGAATCGTAATATAAATGTCTGCTATGCAGGATGTATTTCCATTCACTGGACCTAATTTGGCACAAATACTTGATATACCTAAATTTGAATACTTGTGGGGTTGTGGGGGGATTAATTTTGTCATTTGGGAGTAGTAGTTGCTGGGATTTATAGTTCACCTACAATCAAAGAGCCTTCTGAACTTCACCAGTGATGTAGTTGAGCCAAACTTGGTACACAGAACTTCCATGACCAACAGAAAATACTGGAAGGGTTTGATGGGCATTGACCTTGAGTTTTGGAGTTGTAGTTCACCTACATGAGAGAGCACTGCAGATTCAAACAATGATGGACCAAACTTGGCACAAATACTCAATATGCCGAAATATGAAAACTGGTGGAGTTTGTGGAAAATAGACCATGACATTTGGGAATTGTAATTACTGGGATTTATAGTACACCTTCAATCAAAGAGCATTCTGAACCCCACCAATGACAGAACTGGGCCAAACTTCCCACACAGAACCCCCAGATCTAACAGAAAATATTTTCTGATGGTCTTTGGTGACCCCTCTGTCACCCCCTCAGGATTCCCCCCCCCCAGGGGGTCTTGACCACCAGGTTGAGAAACATTGGTTTAACCCATTGCACTACCGTGGCCCATTATATTATATTATATTATATTATATTATATTATATTATATTATATTATATTATATTATATTATATTATATTATATTATATTAATATAAATTAATAGCCCGTATAAATCTGCAACCACTTAGATCTTGTTCTGCCTTGACAACAGGAAATACAAAAGCCTAGAAGTCCTTATGTAATTCAGAATGATTTCTGCTGGAATCAACCAATCCACATCATGAACATGCCAGTTTGAATGCTGCTTCTCACTTCACCCAGTTCAGGATTCCCTTGAATGCCTATACAGAACTCATCTTTCTGTTGAGATTTGACTGAATGCCTCCCTTTCCATTGACATGAAAATAACTAAAAACTGAACCACTGCTATACCAATGGAGAAGAACCATATGGCTCAAGATCAGAACCAACCAGGAGATCCTCTGCTTGGGCGTTGTTACTGTCTGGAAGCTCACCTCTTTGAGAATCACCACATGAACCAGTGAAATGCACTCCGGCAGATCTCTCAGGTAAGCAACGTAATAGTCCAAAAAATTATTCTGGAAAGCAAATGAAAAGATAATTTAGCCCACAGTCCGATGACCTGTTAAGCACAAAATTTGTAAGTATTTATTTATTATTTATTTTATATTTCCGGCATCTTGGAGGCTGTGCTCAACTCTGGCCATGGGGAGGAGGGATGTCACTCCATCTTCCATGCCAAGGAGCTTTCCTCCGATTGAGCGATGTCCTTAAGGGCAAATTTATTACCTCCCCACTAAAAGTGATACATATTTATCTATTCGCATTTCTGCTTTTGACCTGCTAGGTGGGCAGGTGAGCTGAGTGCTCATCCCGACCCGGGATTGAACTGTTGACCTTTTGATCAGCAGGATTTTTCGCAAGCATGGTGGTTTCGCCTGCTGTGCTAAGTCCGGCCCTATTTATGTGCTTTTTTTTACTTGTTATTTATTTTTATTTGGCAAGTCACTTTCAGACTCAGACCCCATCTAAACGAATCATACAATGCAGCTTGAAACTGCATTTTATGGCAGTGTAGATGGGGTCTCAACTTTGTGTGTGTGTGTGTATGTGTGTGTGTGTCAGGAGTGACTTGAGAAACTGTAAGTCGCTTCTGGTGTGAGAGAATTGGCTGTCGGGGGCGCCCAGATGTTTTGATGTTTTATCATCCTTGTGGGAGGCTTCTCTCACATCTCTGCATGAGGAGCTAGAGCTGATAGAGGGAGCTCATCTGCACTCTCCCCGGATTCAAAACTGCCACCTGTCGGTCTTCAGTCCTGCCGGCACAGGGGTTTAACCCATTGCGCCACTGGGGACTCCGTAAACTTTGAGTAAAAGGTGTGGAATACAATGTCTTTTCATTTTGTCATTGAGTTCTAGGAGTGAGTTGAGTTCTAGGAGTGAGTGTATATGCTTAGACAGATTGGAATGGATCCAAACATCGTCATTCTTGGAGTAGAGACAAAGATTTGCAGAGCTGTAAGAGGATCTTGCCCAACCCCTTTGCCATGAAGAACAAACAATTAGAGGACTCAAAAGAGATGGCCATCCCATTTACTATTATTTATCTTCAAATAGAAAAGAATCTGCTGTATCTGCCACTGCAATTCATTAGTATTGAAGTCTCATTGACTTCAGCAGGGCTCCTTTAAGAACGACTAAGTTTGGATCCAATCTATTTCGATTAATATTTGTGCTCCTCAAGGAAGAAATAAAGGTAAGGCACAAGTGTATATTTCAGCCTTCGAATATGCGAATATCAAAGTGCTTCCTTCTCCTCCCGCTCCAAAGGTACCCAAGGTGCGTACTTCATCATTGGTCAGCTTGAGAAATATGTCTCCCAGGATGCCTTGTCGGGGCCAACTCAGGACTCTCTCTTGAAGAGCATGGAGTAAGTCGACATGCTGCTGGACCAAGTATCGCAAAGAGTTCGGGACAAAACTGTAGGGAGAAATAAGAAATGCCTTACCAGAGAACTAATCGATACACATAATAAAAGTGAAAATATGTATGTGTGTGTGGCTGTGATGTCTACTTACACAAAAAGAGCTATAGTTCCCACTACTCAGGAGACACAAAAAGTCCTCCTTCCAATGACATTGTAGATTATAGAGAGCGCCATGAACATGTTCAAGAGCCCTGACAACATCCTCCACAAACACCACACTGCCCACCATCCAAGTGAAGGCTTTCATTTTTGTGTTCCTCCACCACAGACATCCCAGTGTTTCTTACTCTCTCCCACTGGTGTGGAATTTTCATGATCCCTCCCACTGCCTCTTCCATAACCCTTTCATATTCTTTTCTGTGGCACACAGCAAACAGAGGAATTGATCAGCAACTAGAGAGCTTTGGGAAAAATTCACCATGATTTATAGGAGTTGTAGGTACTGGGAAGTATAGTTCACCTGCAATCTAAAAGCACTCTGAACTCCACCAACAATGGACCTGGAAATAACTTGGCACACAAAACCCCCATGACCAACAAAAATACTGGAGGTCTTTGGAGAGATTTATAGGAGTTGTAGTTCACCTACATCCAGAGCATGCTGTGAACCCAAACGATGATGGATCTGGACCAAACTTGGCATGCATACCCAATATGCCCAAATTTGAATACTGGCGGGTTTTGAGGGGAATTGGCCTGGACATTTTGAAGTTGTAGGTACTGGAATTTATAGTTCACCTGCAATCAATGAGCAATCCGAACTCCTCCAAAGATGAAATTGGACCAAACTTGGCACACAGAGACCAGCAAAAAAAATACTGGAGGTCTTGGGGAAAATTCACCTTGATTTATGGGAGTTGTAGTTCACCTACATCCAGAGAGTACTGTGAACCCAAACACGGATGGATCTGGACCAAACTAGGCACACAGACCTGATATGCCAAAATTTGATTGCTGGAGGGGTTTGAGAGGAATTTACCTTCCTTTCTGGGAGCTGTAGTTCACCCACAACCAGAGAAATATGACCTCCACCGATGACAGACCTGGACCAAACTTGGCACACAGAACCCCCATGACTAACTCAACCTACTGTAAAGGTTTGAGGGGACTGACCCGCCATAGTGGGAGTTGTAGTTTACCCTACAGCTAGAGAGGACACTGAATCCCACCGATGATTCATCTAGAGCAAACTTGGCCAACATAAAAAAATTTAAATACTGATGTAGTTTTTCAGGGTTAACCTAGCATGATGTGAGTTGTAGTTTACCCACAAACTTATGCATTTTGTACAATTAAAAATGACTTAAAATATCCCAAGCAACATTGGGTACCCAAGCTAGTAAACAATTAAAACCTAATGCATACAAACAAATAGGATGCTCATAATACACTATTATCAAAAAGGTGAGTTCAGCCTGAACAATGCACAACAGAAGCTAGTCATGTGGCTTATAAAGACAAAACAAAACTGATTGGAGAGAGATGTGTGGAATAGACACGAATGTCCTTTGCACATTGGAAGGAAAATGTTTTATACAAATAGGTGTAATGAATACGACACCTCCTTTCCTTGGCATTCCTCTTCATTTCTGGTCCCTGCCATGAAGTCTTGATTTTGAGAACCAGGGAAAGGCTCACCACATACTTCCTTTCAGACTCCAGCAAGTCCAAAGCAATATTTTGCCTTTTAGCTAGAGCCAACCAAAATAACATTTATTACTATTAGCATTAAAACAATAATAATAGCCACGATCATGCGCTTGCATTTGAATAAGACATCATAACAGCAAAATGCAAGCAAAACGTTACTTTGTTCTTCTTCACATTAGAGAGGATTAAATCTGTTTTGACACACAATACTTAATTTATCTGCCATTTGTCTCTATCTAGCATTGTATAAATTGTTGCCAGATAAGATGGAAGCCATTTCCTCCCTTCTGCCTTTCCCATGTAGCTTTCCATATACCAAAATTGGTTCTGGATGTTTTTCAGTCCATCAATGGAACCACGACCTACTGAATCATGTCCAGAACCTACTTTGGAAATGGAAATCCTATGGGGCTCAGATAGTTCTTTGCAAAATTCGCCATTTACTTTTTGCTGGCTAAGAAGACTAGAAATTAGGCTTTTTAGATGAGTGAGCACATGTTAGCAATGAACCAAAACACGGCCTCAAGGGCAAAAGAGCTCACTTTCAGATTATAACATACGAAGGTAGCTGTATGGATTAAAGTGATTCCCCAATAAGGAATGAATTTCCTTTTTCTTTTGTAGGGAGATTTAATTACGAAACAACACCTGAAAACCAAGTCACCTTGCAGTTCCAATATTAGGAGAAATGCATGATATTATACAAATGCTAGTAAAATGTAACATATATGAAATCTGTACTAATCCAGAAAACACATTCAATCAATTAAAACAGAAGAGAATAAATAATAAAATGAATGTATTGTCGAAGGCTTTCATGGCCGGAATCACTGGTTTGTTGTAGGTTTTTTCAGGCTGTATGGCCATGGTCTAGAGGCATTCTCTCCTGACATTTCGCCTGCACTTTGGCAAGCATCCTCAGAGGTAGTGAGCCCAGAGACCTCACTACCTCAGAGACCTCACTACCTCTGAGGATGCTTGCCAAAGTGCAGGCGAAACGTCAGGAGAGAATGCCTCTAGAGTCTAGACCATGGCCATACAGCCCGAAAAAACCTACAACAAACCAATAAAATGAATATTACTGATTAAATGTTAACGTAGAACTAAATTGGCATATTGCAAAACAAAGGAATGATCCATCCTTAGCCATTCCTAGAGCATATCCATTGAAATCAATGAAGCTGAAGTTAGATCAGGCTTGGGCAAACTTGGGCATCCAAGTGATTTGAACTTCAACTCCAGAAATTCAGAACAGCCTACTGGTGTTGTATTATGTCTTGTTTATTACAGTAAGTTGTAGCAGGATCAAGTGTGTGTTAAACAAAAACCTTATGATGTTAATTATTATGTGCAGTTGGTAATGTAGGTCAGCCAGCATGTTTGGGCCACACCAGGTGGGATATAACTGTATGGATTTTAGAATACAGTTTGGAGAAGCAATACACTACTCTGAGGAAGGCAAACAATACGCTACTCTGAGGTTGAGAAGCAATATGCTATGCTCTAACAGCGATGCTCTTTGCTATGGTGGAATAGCTATTTACTCAAGGTTTATGTTTTGCTCTCTCATTTGAATGAAGATGAAGAAGCCTTATTCTGTGTTACTTACAAGAACTATGTAAGTGTGTTGCACTGTTTGATTTTGTATGCAACACTGCAAGTTTATGCCTCTGCTGATAAGAGTAAAGTTTTCTGTTCCTTTTCTTTCTCTTGCCTGTGTGTCTTTTGCATGCGACGTGGCTAAAATTTGCTTCTGCGCAACATTGTTGAATGTGTATTTTACGTAAATTTGTAACTGTAATTTGTAACTGAATGTGTATTTTACATAAATTTATAACTGTACGCCACTTTGAATGCCACCCATGGCAGAAAAGTGGGATAAAAATGAATACATTGTTATTATTATTATTATTATTATTATTATTATTATTATTATTATTATTATCCTCACCTGCAATAGACGGGTCTTGCAGTAGGTTTTCCATGGAGCTATATCTGGTTGGACCTAATTCCTTCTGGTCCCTTGAAATATAGTCATCACCCCAATCTTTACCATCCTTGGTTTGTTTCCACATTTTGGATGATGACTGAGCATCAGATGAAGAGGACGCTCTAAGGCTCTCTTCTGTGTCCAGATTCGTACTGGTAGGTCCTAGGAATTAAAGCATGTTGTCACCAAGATAGGTATATCCTCATGGTCAGTTAACCCACTAAGCTAATCTCTGAACCCCAATAATCCTGACTCTAGTTTATGATGACCAAATCTAAGATTCTCATAGGTTCAGGAAAGGTTTTGGGCAGCATAAAACCTGTTGGCCAAAAGAAGACTAATGACTAGATCCAGAAAAAAGGGGGGAGTGTTTTATTATTCCTAACTACACAATCCAAGAGTATAAAGTTCTGGTAGTTGCTTCAGATCAGTGCAGAAACAACACAGTTGCCTGTTTAAGGAGCCTAGTTGTTAACCATTGTCTTCACCTTACTAAATTCTGAACCAGATCTCTCTTTCTTATTTAGGGTTCTGGCTTTGCCTTAGGAAGAAGGCCTCTCTGGAGATCTCAGCCTATCAGTCCCTGTCTTTGTGCCATCATTGCCCAAGGAGTGAGCTTTGAAATGGTTGAACAGAAGCTCTCCAAGGCTTTAGGTGTTCTTACTGCCTATTACAGGGAAAAACCGCTGATTCCTAATCCATCTAAAATGCAGGTGTGTGCTTTTCATCTAAAGAACAGACAAGCATCTCAAGCTCTGAGGATTACCTGGGAAGGAATCCCACTGGAGCACTGCCACACACCAAAATACCTGGGAGTTAGCCTGGACCGTGCTCTGACTTACAAGAAACATTGCTTGACTATCAAGCAAACAGTGGGTGCTAGAAATAATATCATACGAAAACTGACTGGCACAACCTGGGGATCACAACCAGATACAGTGAAGACATCTGCCATTACTCTTTGCTACTCTGCTGCTGAATATGCATGACCAGTGTAGAATATAGAATCATAGAATCAACGAGTTGGAAGAGACATCATGGGCCATCCAGTCCAACCCCCTGCCAAGAAGCAGGAATATTGCATTTAAATCACCCCTGTATATGTTTATATACTTATCACCCCTGTATATGTTTCACTATACTTAAACAGTAGATGTGGCTCTTAGTGAGGCATGCTGCACTATCACATCATGTCTACTTCCCACGCCACTGGAGAAATTATACTGTTTAGTTGGTATTCCGCCGTCAGACATCTGCCAGGAAGTAGCAGCCAATAATGAAAGGACCAAGGCAGTGACACCTCCAGCCCTGCCCCTGTTTGGATATCAGCCAGCATGCCATGCCTTAAATCAAGAAATAGCTTTCTAAGATCTACACAGAGATACTCACAGGAACACCTCAGCAACCGAGAGTCCAAAAGTGGCAGGCTAAAACCCAGAAGCTCAAGCCATGGCTGATACCAAATGAGAGACTCTCTCCTGGGCACACAGAAGACTGGGCGACTTGGAAGCTGCTGAACAAACTGCACTCTGGCACCACGAAATGCAGAGCTGACCTTAAGAAATGGGGCCACAAAGTGGAGCCCACAAAACGCAAGTGTGGAGAAGAGCAAATAACAGACCACTTACTACAATGCGGTCTGAGCCCGCCACATGTACAATGGAGGACCTCCTTATAGCTACACCAGATGCACTCCAAGTGGTCAGCTACTGGTCAAAGGACATTCAGTTTAATGCAAAGTTTTTTAAACTTTGTGTTTTTAAATACATTACAACTGCACCCTCAATTCGCTTCTGACACGCTAAATAAATAAATAGTCCATGTCTTGTTTGGGCTGTCCCCTCCTCTTGAATAAGCAAGTTCTAAAACATCAATAGAGGATCTGACTCTTTGAGAATGTTACTGCCTTGGCTTCTTTCTGTATCAATGGGAATTGCCTACCAAAGAGAGAATGTCAAAGAACACCAGTTCACAAGAACTCCTCATCTGCCTACCTTTCATGTTGCTTTCTCCGAGTCCCCTGGGTCTGCAGTCAGAAACTGGGCAAGAACAGAAGAGATTTTAGCTTTGTATGGCAGAGGATAAATAAACGAAACATCTCACAAAGAGCCAGAACAAGAAACAGCTTCTAGAATTTTGCATTTATCTGTTATATTTTCAGATTCAGAACAAGGAAAGGAAAATGCAAACTAGGAGATTCAGGTTGGTGCCGTTGTAAGTTGGTTCTACACACTAATCACTTCCCTCTAGACCGGTGTTTCTTAATCTTCCTAATGCCGCAACCTCTTAATACAGTTCCTCATGTTGTGGTGACCCCCAACCATAACATTATTTTCATTGCTACTGTGATTTTGCTACTGTTATGAATCCTAATGTAAATATCTGATATGCAGGATGTGATTTTCATTCACTGAACCAAATTTGGCACAAATACCCAAGAAGCTCAAATCTGAATACTGCTGTGGTTGTGGGGATTTGATTTTGTCATTTGGGAGTTGTGGTTGCTGGGATTTATAGTCAACCTACAATCAAGGAGCATTTTGAACTCCATCAACAATGGAAATGAACCAAACTTGGCACACGGAACTCCCATGACTAACAGAAAATACTGGAAGGGTTTGGTGGGCATTGACCTTGAGTTTTGGAGTTGTAGTCCACCTACATCCAGAAAGCACTGTGGACTCAAATAATGATAGATCTGGACCAAATACTCAATATAGCCAAATGTGAACACTGGGAAGTTTGGGGAAAATAGACCTTGATGTTTGGGAGTTTATAGTTCAACTACAACTCCCACATGTCAAGTCTATCTCCCCCAAACACATTGGCACATTGAGTATTCGTGCCTAGTTTTGTCCAGATCCATCATTGTTTGAGTCTACAGTGCTCTCTGGATGTAGGTTATAGTTATAGTTATAGTTGCTGGGATTTATAGCTTAAGCAGCTGAGGGGGAAGAGGAAAGGTGTAAGACTGTTAGGAATGATGGGAGTTGAAGTCCAAAACACCTAGAGGGCCCAAGTTTGCCCAGGCCTGGTCTAACATGTTCATCTGAACTCATACAAGTCAATGTCCTGTATGGCACAGCATAGCATAATAGTTCCGCATAGAAAACTACACAACCAGTCATTCAACACAATCAACAGGATTTATCCTTCAACCACACATACACACACATGTGTGGCAATTTCATTTTGTGAAGCTCCCCACTGAGCATCTATTATTGAATCTCTGAACCCATGATTTAGAAGCTTAAACAATTATTCTTGTTGTAATAATTATAGCTTTACTTAGCCTAGAACAGGGGTCCTCAAACTTTCTAAACAGATGGCCAGGTCACAGTCCCTCAAACTGTTGGAGGGCCAGATTAGAATTTGAAAAACAAACAAACCATGAATGAATTCCTAGCAAACTGCACATATCTTATTTGTAGTGCAAAAAAACCCACTTAAAAACAATGCAATTATTAAAATGAAGAACAATCTTAACAAATAAAAACGTATTACTATTTCAATGGGAAGTGTGGGCCTGCTTTTGGCTGATGAGATAGTATTGTTGCTGTTGTTGTGTGCTTTCAAGTCATTTCAGACTTAGATTGGCCCTGAGTGAGCACCAGGTAAATGACCTTGGAGGGCCATTTCCGGGCCCCGGGCCTTAGTTTGAGGACCCCTGGCCTAGAACCTTGCTTTGAATGCCTGCTCCTTACGCTCTCCCACTTCCAGTGAGTGAAACTTCAGTATCTTTAAAGTAAAATTTTAGGTGATGATTGCTCCAATCCTGACAAGATTAGGTTGGCTGACCGAACAGTTGGCAGTTCAAATCCGGGTAGCAGGGTGAACTCCCGCTGTTAGCCTCAGCTTCTGCCAACGAAGCAGTTCGAAAACATGCAAATGTGAGTAGATCAATAGGTATTGCTTCTGCCGGAAGGTAACAGCACTCCATGCAGTCATGTTGGCCACATGACTTTGGAGGCATCTATGGACAACGCCTGCTTAGAAATGGCTTAGAAATGGAAATTAGCACAACTGCCCACCAGGCCCGTAGCCAGGATTTCGATTTTGGGGGGAGCTGAGTTTGTTTCGGGAGGGGGGGGGCTGAGTCTGAGGGAAAGAGGGTCTACCCTAGCAAACCTTTTGTATCGTTACCCAAATACCCCCATGCATATGGAATATATTGAGTATGGTGATCAGATCATGATATGAATAAACGTAACAGTGTAAATAATGCACCAGTAAGGCCTTTTCGTGAACCACCATGAGAATTTCGGGGGGGGGGGGGCTAAAGCCCCTCAAGCCCCCCCCCCCCTTGGCTACATGCCTGCTGCCCACAGTTGGACACAATAATAAATAATATAATAATAAAACCTTATTTATACCCCGCTACCATCTCCCCAAGGGACTCGGTGCGGCTTACATGAGGCCAAGCCCACAGTACATCAGTAAACAAAGGCAATAACAAAAACAATCCATACAAAACAATTAATATAAATCACATAAACAAAAAATAAACAATAACAGTAACACACAAGCATTTAAAAATCTATGGCCGGGCCAAATGTAATAATTTAAAATTTAAAAAATAATGCTTGGCATGAAGAAGGTAGGATATAACTGGGATAGGGTTTTTCAAAGAGAGATGAGGGAACGCAGTCAGTCCTGAATCAGTGGTAAAGTGCATTTTGAGGGCATATTGCTCAGAGTTTTCCTTATTCTGGGAAGGCACACTGTGGAACAACTAGACTTAATGTCCGGGGAAACCTTTACCTTTACCTGACAAGAAGGAACTCTTTCTATGTGTTTTGGACAGAACGTAAAAAAGGAAAAGTGTCTCTCCCGCCAACTTTCCAATTCTCGTTCTGCTCCTTCCCTCTCCCTCCTGTCTCCAAAGAAACCTTACTAAATTATCATTCTGTTCTACTTTCTTAATACAATTCTGTTTCTGGAAAAGGCTCTGGTCTCATTATTATTGCTCCCTGAGCACCTTACAATGGCTCTAAGCTACCAGAACTAAATGATCCAAAGAGACACACTCGGCGACACTGTGTAGTAGAAAACATGAATCGTTTCTGGGGCATCCCTAACGGATACATACTCCATCCTCCTACACGTCTGTGGACCACAATGGGAAACTCAGTCAAAAATATCTCAATCATCTACTTTTTGGAAAGGTTTTATAGCAGGCATGGGCAAAATTTGGCCCTCCAGGTGTTTTGGATTTCAACTCCCACAATTCCTAACAGCCTCAGGCCCCTTCCTTTTCCCCATCAGCCACTTAAGCGGAAAGGGCCTGAGGCTGTTAGGAATTGTGGGAGTTGAAATCCAAAACACCTGGAGGGCCAAAGTTTGCCCTTGCCTGGTACAAAAGATGTTTCAATATATAGTCTACTGACATAAAAGTACATATGGTGTACAGCAAAAATATACCTTTCTCATATGTTGCATTGTGCAAAAGGTTTACAAAATCTTCATTAATTAAAACCGTCTCTGGAAGGTTCAGCGACCGAAAGGGACTTCCTTGCAAGGGTGTGGGGACTGTTTGCGACCCATGCTCCTCCTTCTGTATTCTTCTGGGGAGAAAAAAAAACATTAAAAAGCAAAGCTATCTATTTGGGAATACACCCTTGACTTATGTGGGAAGTGGGAAACAGCCCACTATGTTTTTTCTCTTGTGGCAAGTCGTATAGTTCAAATAGGCTTGACGATGGCACAAGTCTTTTTATTGATTGGAGATGTAAGCATCATTATAGTTTAGCATTCAAATAAGGATGGAATCCAATGTTGTGTTTGTGAAAACACCACTCGTTGTGCAGACATTTATGATCTCTCCTATAGTACACATGTCCAGCTGTTTGGGGAAAAAATCCAATTTTGCAAAAATAAAAAGAGTAAGTTGCTTTGAGTTTTCTGGGCTGTATGGCCATGTTCCAGAATCATTCTCTCCTGACGTTTCACCCACATCTATGACAGGCATCCACATCTATGGCAGGTTGTGAGGTCTGTTTGAAACTAAGTAAGTGAGGTTTATATATCTGTGGAATGTCCCGGGTGAGAAAAAAAACTCTTGTCTGCTTGAGGCAAGTGTGAATGTTGCAATTAGCCACTGTTGCAACCCAGAGCAGGAAACTGGACCCTCAGACAACCATCCACCACACTTGACTTCAGGAAAACAACCCTATTTTATTGATGAAAGATGAATACAAAATAGAGGAAAAAAGCAAAGGTAAAAAGTCACAGTAAAAATCAGCAACAAGAAATGTCCATAAACAAGATCATAAAACCCACAGCAAAACTGCTGAATCCTGGAACCTGTTAGCAATCCACTAACCGTACTTGGAACAACTAGAAAACCTCCGAAGAACAAGGCCACTTGAATCAGGAGACCTGCAAAAGCTTGCACATGAATCTGGAACGATGCCTGGTCTGAAGCTGCATTCAGGCCAGGCATACTTAAGGCCGAGAAATCTATTGCGAGACACGCCTGATGTTTTTGTTTGCATTCCTCTCAATCTGGCTGACCGACGTAAACTTTGTGCTTCTCCCCGGCTCTGCGAAATCTGCCCCCGCCTATCCTCATTAGGCAGACCAGGTGTCAGATTCTCTGGAAAACTAAGGCTGGGAGGAAAAGGGAGTGAAACTTCTCCGCTCGGCTCAGAATGCATGTTCTCATGGGAATTTTGACTTTCACTTTCCAAGGCTGTAGGATTTTTACTACTCAAACCATCATCATCTAAATTGGCCTCAGAATTCACATTGACATCTACATTGGCATCAGGGAATACAATCAGAGAATCAGGTTCAGGTTCAAGTTCACACACAGGCTGAACCCCAACGGCCACCTTGATTAGTATTTAATGGCCTTGCAGCTTCAAAGCATGGCTGATTGCTACCTGGGGATCCTTTGTTGTGAGGTGTTAGCTGGCCCTGGAGCCCCGGTGGCGCAGTGGGTTAAACCCCTGTGCCGGCAGGACTGAAGACCAACAGGTCACAGGTTCGAATCCAGGGAGAGGCGGATGAGCTCCCTCTACCAGCTCCAGCTCCTCATGCGGGGACATGAGAGAAGCCTCCCACAAGGATGATAAAACATCAAACATCCTTGCAGACGGCCAATTCTCTCACACCAGAAGCAATTTGCACTTTCTCAAGTCCCTCCTGACACGACAAAAAAAAAGCTGTCCCTGATTGATTCTTGTCTGGACATAGCATATTATTTGAAAACACAGAAATGCTGGACCACTCTAATAACCACCATGTCAGACCTCACAGAGAAGCCATTGAAATCCACAAGTATGTGAACAATTTCAACAGAAAGGAGGAAACCATGAAAATGAACAAAATCTGGCTACCAGTAGTAAAAAAAACCTCTAAAATCAGGGCAGTAAATAGAGAGTAACACTCAAAAAACAGGGGAATTCCAGACAATAATCAATCAGGGCCAGGTAACACCTCCCAGCAAAAGAATTCCCTAGGCAGCAATCAGCCAAGCTTTGAAGCTACAAGGCCATTAAATGCTAATCAAGATGGCCAATTGCAACATTCACACTTGCCTCAAGCAGACAAGAGTTATTTCTCCCATCCTGGACATTCCACAGATATAAACCCCACTTGCCTAGTTTCCAACTGACCTTACAACCTCTGAGGATATCTGCCATAGATGAGGGTGAAACATCATGAGACAATGCTTCTGGAACATGGCCATGCAGTCCGGAAAACTCACAGCAACCCAGTGATTCTGGCCATGAAAGCCTTCGACAACACATTAAACGACTTACTTTGCTTTGAGCTTTCGAGATTCCTTGCGTTTCTCTTGTTGGAGCTGTTCAATTTTCTGTTGCATTTCATCTTGCTTAGCACTGATTTCTTCGATCATGGACTTGGCTTCATTAAGCTCCTCCTAATGAAACAGGGAAACGCTAGGGATAAGGATTACATTATCCATTCGTATTTCAAAATACTGTACCAAATTCCTCTACAAAGAAGTGGACATCCTTCCAAAACAATGCAGAGGGAGGAATACTACACTCAGAACCTAAGGCTGTATTGCAAAGGGCAAAGACGTAAGAAAACAAATTTAATTTTGAAACAAAACAGCCTGCACTTGTTTCTGTTTCCATCTGTTTCTCAAGACTTATTTCTCTCTATCTTACTCCCGTCACAGGTATAACTGCACATAAGACTGAGGCCCTGTTATATGCATTATATGGCAGTGTAGACTCATATAATCCAGTTCAATGTGGTCAAACTGTATTCTGAAACTTCATTATATACAAGTGTAAATGGAGGCAGAGTGTCCTTTCATGGCTGATCCCACAGTATGGAAGCCCCTCTATAGGGGCTAGAGTCTAGTTTTTCCAGCAGAGAAAAAATTATTATTGAAACAGATTTTTGCTTGGTTCAATAAAAGCATCTCATACAGTGAGTGCTGGAACTTGTTCTTATCTTTAGCATGAATTTTACTTTTCTAATATAATTGTTCATTTAATTTTTTTAGACTTTTGTACCATGTAGTGTCAAAGTTCCTGCATGATATGTGTCCTGATGTAACTCCCTAAAACCCATTTGAAAAGCCAAACAGCTGCAGCAACTGAAAGCATTTTGTAGTGTTGGCAAACATGGCATTGAAGAATGATGCACCCAGTCTTCTGCCTACACATTGCTGGATGACAGAAAACAGTAGAGATCCCGGCAGGGACCTGTCGTAACTGCTTCTCAAACTTCATTTGTCATCATGATGACTGTGGTGTCATGATTTAAATGTGAACAGCAATTTTATGAGGTCTTAAAGTCTAGCTTATGAAATTATACATACAGGATGGATGCCAGCCAATATTTTAATTGTATTTTGTTTTAATCTCATGGACTGTAACTTCTTGAATCGACCTACCAACCCAGCTGCTCCATCTGATAATTGAAATTCTGAGGCAGTGTTGTAGTCTTTCAAGGGGATCCTGAGGATGAAGGGTTTCAAAATGAAGGGTCTGAAAGTATTCAGGGAGAATCTGGGATCATTAAGAGAGAACGCAGTCAGGTCAGGCTGACCCTGCTGATGCTTTGCATACTTTAGATCATTCCTTAGCAACCGGGGAAAGTGAAATTACAATTTCCCTGGAGAAAAAGCCTTGGGAAGATGGAGAGGAGAAAAAGAGAAAAAGCCTTGGGAAGATGGAGAGGGTAAGGAGGCCTCAAGGGAGTGTAGATTAGATCTCAGAATGCAGGGCGTGAAAAGTAGACAAACTAGGTCTTCCCAGCACCACCAAGATAAAGCCTTGAGATCCAGGTGCCTTCGACATGATTTCATGGGAATCTGGACAGGCTTAAATTAGGTGCTTTGGTTACAAGCATTTCTGAGGAGATAACATTGCTAAAGGACAAATAGTCTCCTGTTCATGTTGCCAAGTTGCCAAGTCCCTGGTTCTTGAAATATCAAGATTTTTGTTTCAGGTTCCTGTTTTTGTCTATGTACCTTCAAAGTGTTTCACCTGAAAGAGATTCCTGTTTTCATATCCATGGAATTACCTTGGATTATTTCTATGTTTTTGGATTTCTAGCTTCTGAAATTATTGCATTATTAATGCATTATTCCCATCCAAATTAATGCATTATTCCCATCCATGTGGTCCCCCACCCTCCTATGTATACTGTCTCTGATACTATTGACTGGTGGAAGAAGCAGGGGAGGAAGTGGGCTGGAGCTTGTGAAGAACAATGAGGAGGGGAGGGGGGATAAAGAAGACCAAAGTAACTGGCAAGAAAAAACGCCAACGCTTAAAACATCTGATGTAATAGAGATTAAGACCCTGGTCGAGAACGGCGGTATGGAGGAGGGGAGGTGTTCCACTAGCCGAGGGGCCCCCATAGAGGTCGTGGTGGGAAGGAGGAGATGCGGGAAAAGGAGACCTCAAATTCGGCCAAATTCGGACCATTTATCCAAAACATTAACAATTCCAACTCGGTCTCCTAAGGTAAATTGGTGTAACCAGGTGAGCGGACCCTCTGGACTGAAGGTGGTGCTGTTGAACGCCAGATCTGTCAACGGAAAAACGACCTGGATCCAGGATTTAATCCTGGACGAGCGGGCAGATCTGGCGTGCATCACGGAGACCTGGTTGGATGAAGCTGGAGGAGTAAATCTGACCCAGCTTTGTCCTCCAGGGTTCTCCGTGCAGCACCAACCGAGATCCGGAGGGCGGGGAGGCGGGGTCGCAGTGGTCTATAGAGATTCCATCCATCTGACCAGGTGCCCCATCCCGCAGACCGCAAATTTTGAAAGCGTCTACCTGAGGGTGGGTGACCGGGACAGTATAGGGATTCTGTTAGTGTACCGTCCACCTCGCTGCACTACAGTCTCCCTACCTGAGCTAGCGGGGGTGGTCTCGAGCCTGACGTTGAAGTCTCAACGGCTCCTTGTGCTGGGAGACTTCAACGTCCATGCCGAGACGACCCTCACAGGTGCGGCTCAGGACTTCATGTCTGCCATGGCAACCATGGGGCTGTCCCAACAAATATCTGGCCCCACCCACTGTGCTGGACACACATTGGACTTGGTTTTCTGTCAGGGATGGGAACAGGGTGGCGGTGTGGAGGAGTTGTCCATCTCTCCGTTGCCATGGACCGACCACTTCCTGATCAGATTTAGGCTCACTGCGCCCCCTAACCTCTGCAAAGGTGGAGGACCTATTAAGATGGTCCGCCCCAGGAGGCTGATGGATCCGAATGGATTCCTGACGGCTCTTGGGGATTTTCCTGCCACCTCGGTAGGTGACCATGTCGAAGCCTTGGTGGCTCTCTGGAATGGGGAGATGACCAGGGCTATTGACATGATTGCTCCGGAACGTCCCCTCTCAAGTAGCCGAGCTAAACCAGCCCCTTGGTTTACTGAGGAGCTGGCAGCTATGAAGCGAAGGAAGAGGGAACTAGAGAGCGTGTGGCGTTCGGAACCGAGCGAGTCAAACCGAGCACGGTTTGTGTCCTTTCTTAGGGCATATGCCGCGGCAATAAAGACCGCAAAGAAACTTTCTTTGCGGCCACTATTGCGTCTGCAAAGAACCGTCCGGCGGAGTTGTTTCGGATTGTCAGAGGTCTTTTAACTCCCACCACTGCAGGTGGGAGCCCTGACAATTCGGTCGCGCGCTGTGAAGCATTTGCTCGGTTCTTCGCAGACAAAGTCGCCTTGATCCGTTCTGGGCTGGACGCCGCGTTAAATGCAGTCTCTGTGGATGTGACAACAAGCACCTGCTTGTCCTATTTTGTTGGATTCTTTTCAGTTTGTGAAACCCGAGGATGTGGACAAGATACTTGGAGGAATGAGGCCCACCACATCCATCCTAGACCCCTGCCCATCCTGGCTTCTGAGAGAGGCCAGAGGGGGATTGGCTGAGTGGGTAACAGTGGTGGTGAATGCCTCCCTTCGGGAAGGCAAGATTCCAGCGAGCCTAAAACAGGCTATTATAAAGCCGCTGTTGAAGAAACCATCACTGGACCCCACTAAATTGGACAACTTTCGGCCTGTTTCCAATCTCCCCTTCTTGGGCAAAGTCATGGAAAGCGTGGTGGCCTCACAACTCCAGGTATTCTTGAGAGACACGGATTATCTGGATCCGGCACAGTCTGGTTTCAGACCGGGGCATGGTACTGAGACGGTCTTGGTCGCCTTAGTGGATGATCTGCACCGGGAGCTAGACAGGGGGAGTGTGTCCCTGTTGGTGCTCCTGGACCTCTCAGCGGCCTTCGATACCGTCGACCACGGTATCCTTCTGGGGCGCCTTGCGGAGATGGGTCTTGGGGGCACTGCTCTGCAGTGGCTCCGGTCATTTCTGGAGGGTCGCACCCAGAAGGTGTCACTGGGGGACTCCTGTTCCGCACCACAACCTTTGACGTGTGGTGTGCCACAGGGTTCCATACTGTCCCCCATGCTGTTTAATATCTACATGAAGCCGCTGGGTGAGATCATCCGGAGTTTCGGGGTGCGGTGTCATCTGTACGCAGATGATGTCCAACTCTGTCACTCCTTTCCACCTGCTACTAAGGAGGCTGTCTAGGTCCTGAACCGGTGCCTGGCCGCTGTAACGGTCTGGATGAGGGCGAACAAATTGAAATTGAATCCAGACAAGACAGAGGTACTCCTGGTCAGTCGCAAGGCCGAACAGGGTATAGGGTTACAGCCTGTGCTGGACGGGGTCGCACTCCCCTTGAAGGCGCAGGTTCGCAGCTTGGGTGTGACCCTGGATCCATCGCTGGAGCCCCAGGTTTCAGGGGTGACCAGGGGAGCATTTGCACAGCTTAGGCTCGTGCGCCAGCTGCGCCCGTATCTCGGGAAGTCTGACTTGGCCACGGTGGTACACGCTCTGGTCACATCCCGCCTTGACTACTGCAACGCTCTCTACGTGGGGCTGCCCTTGAAGACGGCCCGGAAGCTTCAGCTGGTTCAGCGTGCGGCAGCCATGTTACTAACTGGAGCGGGGCAGGGAGCACACAACGCCCTTGTTGTCCCAGCTCCACTGGCTGCCGATCTGCTACCGGGCCCAATTTAAGGTGCTGGTTTTGGCCTACAAAGCCCTAAACGGTTCCGGCCCAAAATACCTTTCAGACCGCATCTTGGCCTATGAGCCCACGAGGACCTTGAGATCGTCTGGGGAGGCCCTTCTCTCGATCACCGCCTGCCTCACAGGCACGCCTGGCGGGGACGAGAGAGAGGGCCTTCTCGGTGGTGGCCCCCCGGCTGTGGAACACTCTCCCTGCAGACATCAGACAGGCGCCCTCCCTCATGTCCTTTCGAAAAAGCCTTAAGACCTGGCTGTTCGAGAGGGCATTCAATTAAGTGCTAAGCAACAAACAATACGGTAATGAGAACTGGAATGGTACAAGGAATATGAGACCGGCTATGATTCCACTAAGAGACGAAGCGGATTTTTGTGTAGTCTGTAATTGTTATATAGTTATATGTTGTTGATACTGGCCTTTGTAATTGTCTTTTATGTGTACTGTACACCGCCATGAGTCGCCCGTATGGGCTGAGAATGGCGGTTAACAAGTGCATCAAATAAATAAATAAATAAATGAAATGTTTCCTTGGCATTCTTGAATTACTTTTATAGAACTCTGGCTTATTTTGTATACTGCAAGTTATATCCTGACTTACTTTTGGACATAACCCTCCCCCCCCCCCTTTTTTTAAAATATTATTTCTTCAATAAACACTGTGGCGCGGCTGGCTGGGAGTCAGCTGCATTAAGATCATTACTGACCGAAAGGTCATGAGTTCAAAGCCAGCCCAGGTCGGAGTGAGCTTCCGACCAATTTGTGTAGCTTGCTGTTGATCTTTGCAGCCTGAAAGATAGTTGCAGTTGTCAAGTAGGAAATTTAAGTACCGCTTATGCAGGGAGGCTAATTTAACTAATTTACGAGGCCATAAAATCTCCAGCAAGCATGCAAAGAATGAGGAAGTACTTCATCAGTGTCACAAATGGTCAGTGACGGGACAGCTCCCTGGTGGCCAGAATACCTTCAAGAAAAGCTGGAATGTTAAATTGCCTCTGTGTCTGTCTATATATGTTGTATGTCTATGGCATTGAATGTCTGCCATGTATATGTACATTGTGATCCGCCCTGAGTTCCCTGAGGGGTGAGAAGGGTGGGATATAAATACTGTAAATAAATAAATAAATAAATAAATAAATAAATAAATAAATATTGGCCTGTGGTGTGGTGCTGGGTGAACAGGTGCCACAGGGCTAGAGTGCATCAATATTGCAGATTCAATGCATTAGAATAGTACTAGCAGTGGAAGAAAGGTATCGTATATATTAATTTTAAAAACATAAAATAAATATTTTTTCCAGTTCCAATACAAAATGACATGATACAGATCTCTCACATATCAACTAAACCATACCTACCTACTCATACCTGTTACTTTTTGGACCACTAACTGCACTAGGCAGTGTGAACTCAGACTGCAATCCTTTGAATAGTCCTTTTTTAAGCTACATTTTAATTTATCTACCTATTACAGCATTTCATGCTTGTCTTGATCCAGTATGTGATGGAAAAACTATTTCAAACTACATTTGAAAATGTGTGTTCCTCAGAGATAATATGTATTTAAACATGTATTTGCATTTCAGTTTTTAAATAACTGTAGTGAAATGGAAAAACAGGATGAAATTGACTTATCAGTGATACAGACTGGAAACAGACTGATTCACCCACTCCTATTCTGGTGAGACAAAGAATAAAATTAAGATAGAATGCAGACTGTCTGTTTCACTGCTAATTATCCCTCGTAAATATATTTGAAGTGCATTAAAAAAATCTTCATGCTCTATGATTGTCTCCTGCTTCCAGTCTTCAAACACAGGAGCCTAATGTTCTCTATTGGGAAGGAGAGAGGCTGCCAAATTTTAGCGGCAGAAAATCTTGCCGATCGAAAGGTTAACAATTCAAGCCGGGGTTGGGGTGAGCTCCCAACCGTCAGCCCAGCTTCTGCTCAACTAGCAGTTCGAAAACAGTAATGTGAGTAGATAAATAGGTACTACTTTGGCGGGGAGATAATAAAAAGGCGCCCATGCAGACATGCCAGTGATTTGATTGGGAGAGCTCCTAAAGATAACAAAGCTAATTGGCATGGAAGATGGAGCAGCAGCACCCCCCATGGCTGGAATTGAGCACAGCCTCCAGATGCAGGAGATGGGAAAAGATGGGAAGCCTTTACCTCTGTTTATGTACTGTCTGTCTTTGTTAATTAGATAATGGCATTGAATTGTCGAAGGCTTTCATGGCTGGAATCACTAGGTTCTTGTGGGTTTTTTCGGGCTATATGGCCATGTTCTAGAGGCATTTTCTCCTGACGTTTCGCCTGCATCTATGGCAAGCATCCTCAGAGGTAGTGAGGTCTGTTGGAATTAGGAAAATTGGTTTATATATCTGTGGAATGACTGGGGTGGGGCAAAGAGCTCTTCTCTGCTGGAGCTAGGTGTGAATGTTTCAACTGACCACCTTCATTAGCATTTGAAGGCCTGGCTGAGCCTGGAGGAATCTTTTGTTGAGAGGTGTTAAGATGTGCCTGGTTGTTTCCTCTCTGCTGTTTTTCTGTTGTAATTTTAGAGTTTTTTTAACAGCAAAACAGCAGAGAGGAAACAACCAGGCACATCTTAACACCTCTCAACAAAAGATTCCTCCAGGCTCAGCCAGGCCTTCAAATGCTAATGAAGGTGGTCAGCTGAAACATTCACACCTAGCTCCAGCAGAGAAGAGCTCTTTGCCCCACCCCGGTCATTCCACAGATATATAAACCCATTGTCCTAATTCCAACAGACCTCACTACCTCTGAGGATGCTTGCCATAGATGCAGGTGAAACGTCAGGAGAAAAAATGTCTCTAAAACATGGCCATATAGCCCGAAAAACCCCCACAAGAACCTAATGGCATTGAATGTTTGCCATATATATGTACTGCAATCCACCCTGAGTCCCCTTGCGAGATAGGGTGGAATATAAATAAAGAATATTGTTGTTATATTACCTTGAAATCATTCAGAGAATTCTTCATCTCTGCCACTTTCTCTTCCATCGCACACCGGCAGCTTTGGACCTTCTCCTCCAGAGCGTACTCCCCATGTTGAATCCTTGTGAGCTCCTGCATGGCTTCAGTGAAACCAGTTTTGAGTTCAGAAGCCAGAGCCTGCAACTGGAGAAAAAACAACAACAACAAGACACGTTATTAATTGTACCCACTACAAAAAAACAATGTGGATTCGTCCATTTATTCATACAGCCTAAGGAAAAATTAATTGCTTATCCTACTAGATTGTTTGTTTATCTCAGACATGGGCAAACTTCAGCCCTCCAGGTGTTTTGGACTCCAACTCCCACAATTCCTAAAAATAACTATTATTATTATTATTATTATTATTATTATTATTATTATTATTATTATTGACAGAGGGCACTTATTTCAATAGGGTTCCCTTATCCATAGTTTCCTGTTTCCAAGGCGAGTTCAGGATCATACTGTATTCATTGGGGGGTCATGTTGTATTCATGGGCTCCTGTTTTCCATTTTCAACAATATTCCAGCCTCTGAATATTCCTTCAAGCAGAGAACACAAAATAAAGGACTGTTTTGGGATGGCTATACAAATAGAGGAGTGATTGCTCTACTGCTAATTGCATAGTCAGTTAAATCTATATGCTGCAATTTGTTGTGTTCTGTTTTGGATTTATAATCAGGCAGGAGGCAAAGCCCAGCCATGTCTGCTTATATAACCTGAGGCTAGATAAAAGAAGGTATAGGTAAAGGTAAAGGTTTTCCCCTGACATTAAGTCCAGTCGTGTCCGACTCTGGGGTTGGTGTTCATCTCTATTTCTAAGCCGCAGAGCCGGCGTTGTCCGTAGACATCTCCAAGGTCATGTGGCCGGCATGACTGCATGTATAGTATATGTATAGTATAGATCAGGGGACCTCAAACTTTTTAAACAGAGGGCCAGTAACAGTCCTTCAAACTGTTGGAAGGCTGGATTATAATTTGAAAAAAATGAATGAATTCCTATGAACACTGCACATGCCTTATTTGTAGTGCAAAAAAACCCCACTTAAAAACAATACAATAATTAAAATGAAGAACAATTTTAACAAATATAAACTTATTAGTATTTCAATGGGAAGTGTGGGCCTATTTTTGGCTGATGAGATAGGATTGTTGTTATTATTGTGTGGCTTCAAGTAATTTCAGACTTAGGTTGACCCTGAACGAGGATCGGGTAAATGACCTTGCACGGCCGTATCCGGCCCTCGGGCCTTAGTTTGAGGACTCCTGGTATAGGTGTATAGTCATCTCTAATTTTCCTGAAACCAGTGCTAAAATTTCAGGAGAGTAAAATCCAGTCCCTTCTGCAACAGATTCCTTACCTACTGTTTTCAAAAGTTTAGTGGAATGAAGAGGAAGATTGGATTAAAATAGAGAAGAACTCAAAAAGATGGGTTTTCTTGATTTCATTAACATATACAGTAAGTAAAGGTAAAGGTTTCCCCTGACATTAAGTCTAGTTGTATCCAACTCTTGGGGGGGGGGGGTGCTCATCTCCATTTCTAAGCTAAAGAGTCAACTGCTAGGTTGGCAGAAGCTGGGGCTAGCAGTGGGAGCTCACCCCGCTCCCCAGATTTGAACCACTGACCTTTTGGTCAGCAAGTTCTGCAGCTCAGCTCTTTCAACCACTGCAACATACAATTATGCAAAGCCATTACTATCTATGGCAGCCAATAGATATGGTAAGTCCAGATTTATATTTCCGATGGCTGCAAAACTGTGAGGCCATAATTATTACAAATATGGTCCTGTGCCTATTTATGAGACTTCATGTGACCAAGGACAATGGGTTAAACCCTTGTGCCAGCAGGTTGGCAGTTTGAATCTGGGGAGCAGGGTAAGCTCCCATCTGTCAGCTACAGCTTCTCATGCAGGGACATGAGAGAAGCCTCCCAGAGGATGGTAAAACATCTGGGCGTCCCCTGGGCAACGTTCTTGCAGACCGCCAATTCTCTCACAGCAGAAGCGACTTGCAGTTCCTCAAGTCACTTCCGAGACGAAAAAAAAGTGACATTTTATAAGGACAGTTAAGTTAATGATGAAGAAAGTTACTGTAAAGGAATTAATTTCTCTACCCTGCTGTCTATTTTCTGCTCAAAACTGATCCTTCTCGTTGCTTCTCCACCTTGGTGGAGTTTGGAATATGTGTTGAAATGAATCTACAATTGTGCAGAGAGAGACATGGTCTTCAGCAGAGAAAAAGGGGAGCTCTCCTTCACTCTCAATTATTCACTTGGAAGTGCAGCCACTTAACATTTTATGGGATGTGTGTGTGTGTGGATGCATGAATGCCCTTTCCTTCTGTCTTTCTAATCTTTTCTTAACAATGAGATTTCTGGAAAGCTTTCAGCACAAGCCATTTGGACCGAGCTATTATTTTTCTAACTAAGCTACAGTTGTGTACAATTGTAAATAATCATCTCTGGTTCTATGTATTGTCGAAGGCTTTCATGGCCAGAATCATTGGGTTGTTGTAGGTTTTTTTCGGGCTATATGGCCATGTTCTAGAGGCATTCTCTCCTGACGTTTCACCTGCATCTATGGCAAGCATCCTCAGAGGATGCTTGCCATAGATGCAGGTGAAACGTCAGGAGAGAATGCCTCTAGAACATGGCCATATAGCCCGAAAAAAACCTACAACAACCCATCCTTGGTTCTATTCTCCCCAACCTCATTTCCCAGGATCTCTTGGGATTGGCCACCAATGGGATTCCCTCTTTATGTGTCTGAATGGACCTCTAGGAATTCATCTATTACCTGGAATTTTGGGTCTGACGGAGTAAGACTAATAAGTACCGAAACTGATTTGATGCTGTTGGGTCATAGCTCCAACATCTGGAGACCCAAGTTGGCCCATGCCTGGTATACAGGCACATATACATTGGAAACCCTGCATTCACTCAAAACTTAAGGGACGTATATCTCAAACTATTCTGTCAAGATTCTGGCTTATACGAATAAGGAGGTCAGAGTATCATTTGAACATGATACTCTGAATACACTACTGAACTGCCAATATCTGATATGTTTTCTTTTGTTCTTCATTAATGGCATTCACATTTGCCACTGAATTTCCGATTTGTCGTTCTCTTTTGATATCCTTTTGGGTCCGGCTTTCCCTGAGACTGATTACAAAGCCTAATTGTTAAAGTGACTGGGATTCTTCATTGTTACCTGGGCAATCTGTGTTGCAGGATTAATCACTGGCACACTTTCAGTTTCTCCTGTGGGAATAAAGAACTTCAGTCAATTAACAGGACTTATTAGGCTTACTATATATAAAACGGGGGCATAATGATTTGCAGTCCACTTAAGATGCAAATCTGTCTCTTTCTGGAACACGTAGTTCCACATCGGCTTTGAAGCTGCCAGCTTTTGGCTGTAAGGATTTTGCACAAGCGAAGGAATTCACTGCAATGAAATACGGTTCAATTGTGGCAGGAGATGGGAGCTGACAGTCATGCCCACTGAAATCATCGAGCTTGAAGATAAGTCATTGCGGCCATGCAACTGATTGTGGTTTTTCCACTGATATATATAATATATATTAATTTATGAATTCAGTAGCTGCATAATGTTTATATCAGTATTTCTCAACCTTCCTAATGCCACAACTCCTTAATACAGTTCTTCATGTTGTGGTGAGCCCCCAACCATAAAATTATTTTCATTGCTACTTCACAACAGTCATTTTGCTACTGTTATGAATCGTCATGTAAATATCTGATATGCAGGATGTATTTTCCTTCACTGGACCAAATTTGGCACAAATACCCAATATGCTCAAATTTTAATACTAGTGGGTTCAGGGGGGGATTGATTTTGTCATTTGGGAGTTGTAGTTGCTGGGATTTATAGTTCATCTACAATGAAAAGGAATTCTGAACTCCACCAACAGTGGAATTGAACCAAACTTGGCATACAGAACTCCCCTGACCAACAGAAAATACTGGAAGGGTTTGATGGGCATTGACCTTGAGTTTTGGAGTTGTAGTTTACCTACATCCTGAGAGCACTGTGGACTCAAACAATGATGGATCTGGACCAAACTTGGCACAAATACTCAATATGCCCAAATGTGAACACTGGTAGAGTTTGAGGAAAATAGACCTTGACATTTGGGAGCTGTCGTTGCTGGGATTTATAGTTCACCTACAATCAAATAGCATTCTGAACCCCACCAAGGATAGAATTGAGCCAAACTTCCCACACAGAACTCCCATACAGTGAAGGGACTCACTAGTGCAAGCCTCCCTCCAGCCTTGCACACTCTCCCTTGCCCGCACATGCGCACCATGCTGCCGTGTGCCACGCACAGCTGCTCTCCCCTCCCTGCTTGGAGTATCAGAAACAGCCCTCCCATTGGCTGAGAGGCCAGACAATCACAGCAGAGGAGGACTTTTGGTGGGAGGATTTGATGTCTATTCCAAAAAGAAAGGGGATAGGCGGAGACATCTTCAGCCTTCTCTGCCAAAGACGGTTCTAAGACCATCAGAAATATATGTTTTATGATGGTCTTTGGCGACCTCCCTGAAATCCCCTCACAACCCACCCCCCAGGGGTCCTGACCCCCAAGTTGAGAAACACTGGTTTATATGGATATGTCTCTAAAGACAACCCAAAATCTTCAACCAATACAAAATCTTGTTGCTGTGTGTATGTCTTCAAGTCATTTTCCACTTATGGTGACCACAAGGCAAGCCAATAATGGGTTTTTCTTGGCAAAGGGGGATTTATCATTACTTCCCTCTGTGGCTGATTGAGTATGACATGCCCAAGGTCATCTGGTGGGTTTCCACGGCTGACTGAGTTTTAATGCTAGTAGAGTTTCCCAAATGTGCATGTACTATAATTGTCTTCCAGTTTGAAACAGAAACCATACAGCCTGACATTCATTATCTTAAACCACAGAGTCTGGATTTCCTTAGGAAAACAAGGCTGCTGAATAACTGTTCACATACACAGAAAACACTTCCCTCCTTTAGCTAAACATTGAATACATCCTCACTGAGAAGCCAAAGTATAAGATGGAAAATAACAAAGAGTCAACATTCTGCTCCTCTTTTGTTCTGTATTATATATTGGGTTAGCCCAGGCATGGGCAAACTTTGGCCCTCCAGGTGTTTTGGACTTCAACTCCCACAATTCCTAGCAGCCGATAGGCTGCTAGGAATTGTGGGAGTTGAAGTCCAAAACACCTGGAGGGCCAAAGTTTGCCCATGCCTGGGCTAGCCCCATGCTTGGATACTGAAATCAGTGGGTTCGACTTTAAAGTTGTATAATTCTTTAGTAGGTTTTGATATTTGATTAGAAATGTCAATGATTTTTATCCTCTCATCCAAGGGAAGTCTTCAGATCAGTGGGATAAAGACTCCAAAAATAAGGACAATATGACCCTTCTCTAGATATTATTTTAAGTCTCCCATCCTGACTCTATGGCATTCTTGGGCCAGAAGTTTTTTATTTCAATAGAGGTTTTCTATTTGACATAGTTTTGTGTATCCATGCAAAGTCCAAGAATGGAAAAATATTTCATTTCATAGAATCATAGAGTTGGAAGAGACCTCATGGGCCATCCAGTCCAATCCCCTGCCAAGAAGCAGGAAAATCGCATTAAAAGCACCCTTGACAGATGGCATCCAGCCTCTGTTTAATAGCCTCCAAAAAAGAAGCCTCCGGAGCAGAGAGTTCCACTGCTGAACAACTCTCACAGTTAGGAAGTTCTTCCTAATGTTCAGATAGAATCTCCTTTCTTGTAGTTTGAAGGCATTGTTCTGCATCCTAGTTTCCAGGGCAGCAGAAAACAAGCCTGCTCCCTCCTCCCTATGACTTCTCCTCAAGATGAAGTACTTTGGGCACATTATGAGAAGAAAGGAAAACTTAGAGAAGATAATGATGCTGGGGAAAATGGAAGGAGAAAGGAAGAGGGGCCGACTAAGGGCAAGATGGATGGTATCCTTGAAGTGACTGGCTTGATCTTGAAGGAGCTGGGGGTGGTGACGGCTCACAGGGAGTTCTGGCGTGGGCTGGTCGATGAGGTCACGAAAAGTCGGAAGCAACTGAACGAATAAACAACAACTACAACAACAACATCATGTCTTCCTCAGCCTTCTCTTAGTAGAATCTTATTAGTAGATTGATATTTCATTCATCTCAACATTTAGGTCAGAAAGAAGTTCTGCCAGACTCCTATATGACCTGTTACATTACATAACTTTATGTATATCTAACTCAGTTGGAGGTGCTAAGAAACAGAATTGCAATGGTGTGTAATGGAGCACTGGCTCCTGTTGCAGAATGCACATCAGTGTGAAATACTCACAAGTGCATATGTCACACCAATGTGCATCAGGTACAATGTACAGCAGTAACGTAACAGCTATCCTCTCCTGAATACAGATGCAATTAGCTGCATTGTTAATTCCTGTACACATAAATCCACTTACAAGGACCAACAGGATTTTGGTTTTCATCTATAATGCATACTGGGATACATAAATATTTATCTCTTTCTCTCCCTATCTTTCTCTGTAATATAGATAATTAATCATTACACAAAAGATGCTGTTAATAAAAAAAAGTTCGCGTTTTAAACAGGGTTAAATTCCTTAAGGTCTTTCATCGGCACATATCACTTGATCCTTGTGTCACATACCCCTGATGACAAGTTAATAATTCTGTTAAATATCTAGACCAATGAATGTATGAATCACATACACTGTTTGTTTTCATAATAACACTACACAATCACTCTATGCATCATTCTATAGACATAATAATATGATAACTACAAATAGTTTTAAGCAGATTTCCTCAAGCTAAGACCCTCTGGTTATATTGAATAACAACTTAGGCCAGGCTGTTTGAGGATGATAGGAATTGTGATTGAGAAAACCTGGAGAACAACAGGATATTTATTTATTTATTTACTGTATTTGTATACCGCCTTTCTCAGCCAATCGGCAACTCAAGGCAGTTTCCAACAAATCAGTACATATAAAAACAGATTAAAACATTAAACAATATAAAACCCCACAAAAGCAATAAAAAGCATCATTAGCGTCTCATTATTATCAAGCATTGTCCAGTTCCATTGTCAAATTGTTCGATTTCCTATATTAGCTACTCTGCATTGGTAAATGCTTGCTCGAACAGCCATGTTTTAACTTGCCTCTGAAATCTTAAGAGGGAGGGAGCAGATCTAATCTCCCTAGGGAGGGTTTTCCATAGCCGAGGGGCCACCACTGAGAAGGCCCTGTCTCTCGTCCCCGCCAAACATCCTTGAGCTGAAGGCGGGACCGAGAGCAGGGCCTCCCCAGACAATCTTAGAGTTCTCGCTGGTTTGTTAAGGGGAGACACGTTCGGACAGGTAAGTTGGGCCAGAACCGTTTAGGGCTTTAAGGATAGTCATATCGATCTCAGGGTGGTGACAAGAACCAAAGCAGGATCAGCTACAATGGCACAATGGGTTAAACCCTTGTGCTGCTGAACTGCTGACCTGAAGGTTGGCAGTTTGAATCCAGGGGACAGGGTGAGCTCCTGCTGTTAGCCCAGCTCTTGCCAACCTAGCAGTTCGAAAACATGCAAATGTGAGTAGATAAATAGGTATTGTTTTGGTGGAAAAGGCATAAGATGCTTCAAGCGGTCATGCCTGTCACACGACCAGGAGGTGACAATGCAGGCTCCTCTGCTTGGAAATGGAGATCATCACCCCCCACCAGAGCCAGAGATGAGCACTGCCCCCAGAGCCAGAAATGAAAGGAGAAGCCTCTGCTTTGTGTTTGTGTGTCTCATTGTATTGTAATAAGGCACTGAATGTTTGTCGGTATCTGTTTACACTGTAATCCACTCTGAGTCCCCATGGGGAGAAGGGTGGAATTTAAAAAATATTATTATTATTATTATTATTATTATTATTATTATTATTATTATTATTATTATTCAGCATGAACTGACCAATTCAAGCTTTTTGCTTTAAAGCTTGGTGTTCCCTTAGGATACTCCTACACTTCTATCTGGGCATTACAATGCAACATATTGCTATATGAATGTTATGTTAATAGGAATGACCAACCCTTGTTTTCCTCTTCAAGCAAATAGATGCTGGAAAACCCCCAGTCTGGATCGAAATTGTAATGGGGCCAAATGTGAACCCGCCATTTGCTCTGCATAGTTCCAATAAGCTTACCACTACCTACACCACTTCAAGTTAGCTATGTGCTAAAGATGAAAAAACCCACGTAATATCATATCCATTTGGACACATTTAGTGGCTGCTTCAAAAGATCAGCCCATGAAAGTGAGCATAAACATTATTTGCCCATTACTGATGGTTTAACTGTGCATACCCTTTCAAGAAAATACTAATACTGAGATAACTAGGTGTCAGTTGTATTTAACTCCTGCTGCGATACTAATGAAGTTGTCATTCCTTGGAGGACATTAATTAATTGAAATCATCCTGAAATTAATTTCTGCTTCAGCTGTGGCTAGGGCCTAGGGCTCTGGTACATAGATACAAGCGCAATCTCCTGCTTTCATTCTAGAAACCCTTGGAAGAAGGTGAGAGAGAAGGATGGCCCCAAATGGCTTCTGGGTTTATGAGTGCTTTTGTGGCCATAAAATGGGGAGGCCAAGTGGATTGGGGTGTGGGGAAGGACTTGGGGATCACCAGCATATCTGGCTTTGCTTGTCTCTATCATGACCTGAGAGGCTGCTGAATAGATAAAGTCTAAATGTTCCAGTTTGGATCACAAAGGCTCTTACATGGTTTGATGGAGCTGGACCTAGCTGAGAATATTCACCCATCGTGATACAACTTAAAACAACTGATGGGGTTTTGTGGCAGATTGACAGAGAATCATGGGAGTTGTGATCCACCCACATCCAGAGATCTGTGTGAATCCCACGCTGATGGATCTGGACCAGACATGGCACACCCCCCCATCATGATCCAACTTAAAACCATTGAAGGATTTTGGGATGATTGATAGAGGCTGATGGGAGTGGAAGTCAGCCATGATGGACTGGATGAAGGCTAACAGGCTGAAGCTTAATCCAGACAAGACAGAGGTCTTCCTGCTAAGTCGTGGGGCCAATCGGGGTATTAGGTGGCAACCTGTGCTTGATGGGATTACACTCCCCCTGGGGACACAGGTCCGTAGCTTGAGGATCTTCATGGACTCAGCATTGACACGATGCCCAGGTGTTGGCGGTGGCTGAAATGGCCTTTGCAAGGTTAAAGCTTGTGTGCCAGCTGTGACTGTACCTCGAGAAGTCGGACATGGTCACAGCAGTCCATGCCTTGGTTACATCTAGATTGGACTACTGCAACCAGGCCCATAGCCAGGATTTTGATTCGGGGGATGCTGAGTTTGATTCGGGGGGAGGGCTGAGGATCTACCCTAGCAAACCTTTTGTATCATTATCCCAACACCCCCATGTATATGGGATATATTGAGCATGGTGATCAGATCATGATATGAATAAACATAACAGTTTAAATAATGTACTACTAAGGCCTTCTCGCGGACCACCCTGAGAATTTCGGGGGGGGGGGGCTGTTTCTGTGCTTTATCCACTTTCCTGACCCTATGATACACTGTTGCACTATTCCTTGCCCACCCCTTTTATAGTTACCATGTCTATTTTGTAATCCTGGCCATTGGTATTTTGAACCCATCTGATGGAGCTATAATAGAATTGGCGTTTTTAAAAAAATATGTATCTTTTAGTAGGATTCTATGTTTTATGATAGTTATTTTAATTTGTCTATATTGTTTTCTTTTCTGGCAATTGAATGTTTTGCCTAATATGTTGGAAACCGCCCTGAGTCCTCTTGTATAGGACGGTATACAAATAAAGTATTATTATTATTATTATTATTATTATTATTATTATTATTATTATTATGTCAAGAGTCATGAGAATCCCACTGATGATAGATCTGGACCAAACTTAGCACACGTGGTAGAGGCTCCTTCTTTGGAGGCTTTTAAACAGAGGCTGGATGGCCATCTGTCGGGGGTGCTTTGAATGGGATTTTCTTGCTTGTTAACAGGGGGTTGGACTGGATGACCCATGAGGTCTCTTCCAACTCTAGGATTCTATGATCCTACGTACCCTATCATGTCCATAACAGGATTAGGGGGACTTGATAGCGGATTCCAGTCACACCCAGAAAGCTGTCTGTATCAACTAACGATGGATCTGGATCAAACCTGGCACACTTGCCTATCATGATGCAACTTAAAATACTGGTGAAGTTTGTGGGATTAAGCATGGTTGATTAAACATATTAAATAAACATTGTGTTACATATCAAAAGAGAACAGAAACTGCACCTGTGGATAATTCTACCTATAGATTAGAATGATCTATCGGAAAGTGGTTTTGCTCTGCATTTTAATTTTTAAACATGCTTTTAAAACAAAATGTTTTATATAGAATCCAGTGCCAAAATGATGACCATCTGCTTAATGCAGTAATATTATTAAATGTGGCACCTCTGGTGGCGCAGCAGGTTAAACTGCCGAGCTACTGAAATTGCTGACCGAAAGTTTGGCAGTTCAAATCTGGGGAGTGGGGTGAGCTCCTACTGTTAGCTCCAGCTTCTGCCAACCACCAAAGGTTGGTAGTTCAAATCTGGTTCGAATCAGATATATTGAACTTTCATGGACTTTAATATGATACTGTCATTCCCAACTGTACCTGGGCACCTGTGTATTACAAGAAAACAAATTGTGACATTTTATGTTTTGATTTTGATTAATGTATACAATATACAGTTAAATCGCTGAGCTGCTGAACTTGCTGACCGAAAGGTTAGCGGTTCGAATCTGGGATGCGAGGTGAACTCCTGCTGTTAACCCCAGCTTCTGCCAATCTAACAGTTCGAAAACATGCAAATGTGAGTAGATCAATATGTACCACTTCTGCGGGAAGGTAATGGTGCTCCATGCAGTCATGCTGGCCGCATGACCTTGGAGGTGTCTACGGACAACGCTGGCTCTTCAGTTTAGAAATTGAGATGAGCACCAACCCCCAGAGTTGGACACGACTAGACTTAATGTCAAGGGGAAACCTTTACCTTTACCTTTTTACAAAATGAGACGAAGAGATATCTCTGCTCTATTCTTGTGATATGCTTTCAAATAGTGTTCGAGTTCTGGAGACCCCAAGGTGACCCTTTCATGGGGTTTTATAGGCAGGAGGTTTTACTTTTGCTTCCCTTTGAGGCTGAGAAAGTGCGATTTGCCCAAGGTCACTTAGTGAGTTTCTGTAGCTGAGATGGCATTCGAACCCTGCTCTCCTAGTATTCTAATCCAGCACTCACTTAAAACACTTTCACACTTCACACCATAACGAACATCTAGGCCTCATTCTAATTGTGTAGCTATTTATATCCCGCATGAAAGTTACCTAATTAGATACAGAAACCTAGCCAACATAAGCAGCACTAAGCATTTAAAAGTCTTTCTCACTGCAGTTCCCAAAAGGAAAGGGCGGCCAATGTCAACTGCAGAAGATTTCCTCCAAAATGTAGGCCACGAATGCTGAGGACCAAGACATTCGGCACCCGTTTAGAGTTGCCAGAATTAATGCCGAACTCCTATATTTCTAGTAGCGGAGTAAAATAGGGAATTTCAGCAACCAGATAGCAAGGTGTTGGTGCCTCACCAAACTACAGCTCCCACTACAACACCTTCTACACAGCCATTAAATGGACTTGTGTTTTAATTCTGGTAATGCTACTCATTTTTAACCTCAGTTGGGAAAAAAAATACGTTTACCTTCTTTTCTGTTTGAATCCATGCTTGGATGTTGTCAAGTCCAGTTAACCATCTGTCCTTTATTGTTCAGGGGGGTAAAAACCCATCTCATGGTTCTGAAGAATCTAAACATGTGAGTTCAAGGGAGGAATCAGATGGCCCAACTCCTATTTTCAATGGAAAGGAAAAAAACATAATGGGGTTATCTGTTCTACTTTTTGTCAGCAATGCCAAAGTCTAGAAAAAAAAATGAGTTCAATAGTTTGCACTCAATTTAATTTGTACCAAGTGAGGAACAATTTTTTTTCCTTATTCTTTTTCATCATCAAAACTTGCCCTTGAGGTCCCGAGGCTTCTGTGGCAGGACTTCTCAAAGTTCAGACTGAAACAGGAGCAGGCCCCTTATTCTTTTTGGAAGGCTTAACTATCACAGTCATACTTTTATCAGGGAATGCATCTACACTGTAGAATTAGTGCAGTTTGACGCCACTTTAATTGCCATGGATCAATGTTATGGAATCATGGGAGCTGGCATTTGACATGGTCTTTAGCCTTCTCTGTTAAAGAGCACTGGTGCCTCACCAAACTACAACTCTCAGGATTCCATAATGTTGAGCCAGGGCAGTTAAAGTGGTCCTAAACTGCATTAATTCTACAGTGTAGATGCACCCTGGATTCCAGGAAAAGGGGAGGGCTAACGCAAAAGAGAATAATTTTATTAGACAGTTCTGATCTCAGGTAAGGCTGGCCAAACAAAGAAGCCAACCCAACTCTATTTGCTTGTCATCTATTGGGAGTGCTTTAGTTGTGTGTCTCTGCAGGTCAGATAAGGGTTGCGATGGATGGCCCCTGGGGTCTCTTCCAACACTTTGGCTCTCTAGTTCTATGATCTTTCCCTTCATGCATCCTGGCTGGACACCACATACACCATAGTGCAAGACTGTTGTTGCCTCTTTTGCGTATTTATTGTATTTACAGTCCTTATGATTTAATGCTATAGAATTGTGGGAGTTGTAGAACTCTTTGGCAGAGGAGGTTAAAGACTCTGTAAAGCTACAACTCCTGTGATTCCATAACATTTATCCAGGATACTTAAAGTGGTGTCAAACTGCATCAGTTCTACAATGTAGATGCACTCATCCTTATGAGTCACTGATTTTTCAAGGTATTCAGCCTTCTCTGCTAAAGACTGCTGGTACCTCATCAAACTATAACTCTCAGGATTTCATAGCATTGAGCCATGGGGTTGAGATGGTTGGCTCCTGGGGGTCTCTTCCAAATCCTTGACTCTAGTTCTATGATCTTGTCCTGTACTCATCCTGGCCAGACACCAAACTTCTCCATACTTCTCTATGGCAGGTTTTGAGGTCTGCAATTTCTCCCACCCTGGGCATTCCACAGATATATAAACCCCACTTGCCTAGTTTCCATCAGACCTCACATCTTCTGAGGATGCCTGCCATAGATGCAGGCGAAGCATCAGGAGAGAATGCTTCTGTCACATGGCCATACCACCCGGATACCTCATAGCAACCCAATCCTACATCTGTCTTCTAAAAGTAAATCTCATGGAATTAAATTAGTATTGTTCTCATGGAAGGAAGCATTGCAGAGAGATTGTCCTTTTTCTGTGTATATTATTCAAGGGAACTATTTGCTTTCTTGCAGCTTTCCCTGAAAGAGTTTATATAAGGATCAATCCAACAAATTTATTTCTAGCTCTTCTTGGAAGTAGCTTTTTTGTTGGCGGGAAGAGTTAATGATAGGGAAGGAAAGTCATATTACTGTACTACTGAAGTGTGAAAAATTCCAATTGATTCTGATTGTATAGTAATATATTTTAAATCACAAATAAATGAGTTTTGGATTTTTATATATCTTTAAATAGGTGAACAGTATTTCTCCTTTCTCTTGCTTAGTTTTATTATTTTATTATTTTATTATACTTTGTAATAACTGCAACACATCAACAGACAATATATAATCAAAGACACAAACAAAAAAAGACAAGGATAATGCAATCCTAGACATATCTACTCAGAAGTAAACACTGTTTTTACTAATTCCAGGGACTTAATTCTGGATAAATGTGCATACAGTTGTGATTGCAGTCCTATGCTCACTTACCTGGGCTGTGAGTAAATCTGTTTTAACTCAGTTGGATTTACTTCAGAGTATATACGTATATAGTTGTGGTGCATATTTGCCGATGCCTTCAAATACAAATCCCACTCTTACAGAATTATCTTGCCAGCGCAGTGCTAATTCATGACCTAGAATATATAGAATGAAATTTAAATTATGTTAATGCTAAAGTACATAAATAAGATCTATGGAATATGGTGATAAATTTGAACTTACCCTAGCTGTGCGATGTCTCTTGCAGCTTCCATACCTTGGTGAGTTAAGAACGAACAGTCCTCTCAAATGAAGGCAGGAAGGCAGCTATGGGAGTCTGGTGTTCTCTGAAGTAGGTCTATCACATGCTATAATGTTAATTTCAAATCCAAGCATATCTAATCTTAAGCTTCCCAATTATGCAATCCTGAGGTCACATCCTTCTGTCCCTCCCTGCTGGTTAACCCAGCTATACGTTTAACATTAAGGCAAGCTCTTAAAACAATGGCGATTGCTGTTAAAACTGTACATTGTGGTGTGTGCATTCTTTTTAATTATTATTAGGAATGGAAAACAATGGAAAACAATGCATTTACGTCTAGCCTGAAGAAATGCTGTTGGCAGTGATTTTTGTTTAATGGAAAGGGCGGGTAGCCAACTGCAAACAGAATTCACAGTGCAGGAAAATTTTGTCCAAAGAAACATGAATGGGGCCCCAACTCAAGTTAACCTACCTGTTATAACCCAAATTGAAAGTGATTTAATAAAACAGGTCAGGTAGAGGGCTCCAAAGTCTAACAGTCTGGAAATTGAAGAAGTGATGCTCATTCAATGTTGGTGACTATGTGTGCGAAAGCAAGGTCTATACTTTCTTGCTCAAAACATAAAAGGGAATTCTTCATTATAAAAACATACTAAGTTGTGTTGACGAAGGCTTTCATCACCAGAATCACTGGGTTGCTGTGAGTTTCCCGATCTGTATGACCATTTTCCAGAAGCATTCTCTCCTGACGTTTCACCCACATCCATGGGAGGCATTCTCAGAGATTGTGAGGTCTGTTGGAAACTAGGCAAGTGGGGTTTATATATCTGTGGAATGCCCAAGGGAGGGAGAAAGAACTCTTGTCTGTTGGAGGGAAATGTGAATGTTGCAATTGGATGCCTTTATTAGTATTTAATGGCTTTGCAGCTTCAAAGCTTGGCTGGTTGCTGCCTGGGGGCTCCTTTGTTGGGAGGTGTTAGCTGGCCCTGACTGATTCTTGTCTGGAATTCTGTTTTTTGAGTGTTGTTCTTTATTTACTGTTATGATTTTAAAAGTTTTTTTTAATACTGGTAGCCAGATTTTGTTCATTTTCATGGTTTCATCCTTTCTATTGAAATTGTTGCATGCTTGTGGATTTCTGTGTAGTCTGACCGGGCTGAGAGGGCTCCCCATGGTTATGGTCATAGCAAATTTCTACGTGGAAAACTTTGAAAAACAAGTCCTGGAAACAGCAACAGAAAAGCCCACTGTATGTTTCAGATATATGGATGACACCTTCACCATTTGAAGCCATGGAGAAGAAGAACTAAACAGGTTCCTGGACCACCTCAGCAGCATCCACACAAACATCCAATTCACCATGGAGAAAGAAAATGAAGGAAAACTGTCATTCCTAGATGTCCTAGTCATTTGCAAACCCAATCAACAATTGGGCCACACAGTTTACAGAAAACCTTCATACATAGTTAATTACCTACATAAAAACTCCAAACATCACCTAAATCAAAAAGCTCAGTTAAAGCCCTGGCAGACCGTGCAAAAAGAATCTGCAAACCCCACCTCCTCCAAGACGAACTGAACTACCTAAACTGGGCTCTACAGGCCAATGGGTACTTCACCACAGACATCAGAAAAGCTGCAAGACCAACAAGCAAGCATTCCCAAATGCATTGTAGCAGACAAACTCTGATCTACGGAATGGCTGGACAACGCAACTGGATAATTATTTTAGTAATGAGACGGTGAGGATTTATGTTTTTATTGGTTTTTACTGTTGCATCTGATGTTGCTGCCGATCCGCTGCCGATCCAGTTCCGAGCACAATTCAAAGTGCTGGTTTTGACCTACAAAACCCTTTACGGCTCCGGCCCAGCGTACCTGTCCGAACGTATCTCCTTCTACGTCCCACCTCAGAGTTTAAGATCTGCTGGGGAGGCCCTGCTCTCGGCCCCACCTTTATCACAAGTGAGACTGGTGGGGACGAGGGACAGGGCCTTCTCGGTGGTGGCCCCTCACCTGTGGAATGCACTCCCCAGGGGAGATTAGGTCATCAACATCCCTCCTCTCTTTCAGAAGGAAGCTAAAAACCTGGATGTGGGACCAGGCCTTTGGGTAAGCTGGCAGATGGACAAAGACAACCAATGACGACCAGAGTAGGAAAGGACAATGACGATGCTAGATGGATTACGGATTATGAATTGGCGAACATTGACCACAAGATGATTTTATTGCTGCTATTGTACTGTTTTGATTGTTTTAACTAGTTATAACTGTTGATATTATATGGTAAATTTGTGTATTGTATTTTGTGAATTGTTAGGCATCGAATTGTGCCTTTTGTAAGCCGCCCTGAGTCCCTCCTAGGGGGTTGAGAAGGGCGGGGTAGAAGCACTCCAAATAAATAAATAAATAAATATTTATACTAATGTTTTAATTGTTTTTATGTTGTTGGGGGCATTGAATTGTGCCGTTTGTAAGCCATCCTGAATCGCCCTTGGGTTAAATAAATAAATACATGAACAACAAGCCACAAGAGTAAAGACAAAAACCCACCCAGAGGAAAAGTCTTCTTACCATACATTAAGGGAACCACTGACCACATAGGGAAGCTGATGAAGAAACACAACATGTGTGTGTGAGAGTGATATATGTGGGGGGTTTTATAATGCTGAAATCGGTGGTATGCTAAAAATAAAAAAGGAACCACAACGGTGCAGGAAGGCTGGATTACAAATATATGCAGAAGTATGATTGTGGGACCATGGTATGGCAAATCACCACAATTGCAATACTGAAGAGAGGTATAATATCATAGGTGCTCAAGTCACTATGTATCCATTATCTACACTAATGCAACTGTAGCAGAATAGCAGGTTGGTGTGATAACATCCTTAAGATTCCAGTAGTCATTTTAACACTGAAATATTACACGAAGAAAACTGCATCAGTCAGCATTTGCACTTACAACAATTACATCCTACCTTAACTGTGCATCCAGAGCAGATGTTTTGCCTCCTCTATACTACAAAACATCTCTCTGGCTTTTACACCCTGGAGATCATTCAGTAATTCCTTCATTGCAATTTTGTAGAACATATAGAGGGCATTAAGGAATACGTTAAAGAAAAGCTTCAGATATTGACTCACGTGATTAGTGCTACTGAATCACAGGGGTTTTTTTTTTGGGGGGGGGGGGAGGACAGGATATAAATAAAATAGGAAGAGTTGGTGGAGGAGTTATTTATAACTGCCTTGACACTTGGTGCAATAATCCATGCTGTCAGAGATGTTATAGGAGTTCAGGGGTATTATTATGTTTCAGTAACTGCCACAGAGGTGTAGTTTTTACGTGCTTTGGTTGGGCTTTAAAGAAGTAAGCTCCCTGTGATTAGGGAAAACATGCAAATCCCGACCTGATTCTTATGGCACACACACATTATCTTAGGGTGTATGCAGATAGATTTAAAAGACCAGAAAGTCCAAGGTTCTGTTCCTGCTCTTTCTGATTTTATTTTGGAGAGCTATCCATGTTGACTTTTTACACCAGCTCCTTTGGTCGGTTCATTTGAACCCAGTATAAAATAAAACTAGGTAAGGTAAGGTAAAGGTTTTCCCCTGACATTAAGTCCAGTCGTGTCCAACTCTGGGGTGTTGTGCTCATTTCCATTTCTAAGCCGAAGAGCCGGCATTGTCCATAGACACCTCCAAGATCATGTGGCCGGCATGACTGCAAGGAGCGCCGTTATCTTCCTGCCAGAGCGGTACCTGTTGATCTACTCACATTTGCATATTTTTGAAGTGCTAGGCTGGCAGAAGCTGGGGCTAACAGCAGGTGCTCACGCAGCTCCTCGGATTTGAACCTTTCGGTCAACAAGTTCGGCAGCTCAGTGCTTTAACCCACTGTGCCACCGGGGGCTCCATAAAATAAAAGTACCGGTACATGAACAAAATCTGGAACTTTTCAATCAGTCTGAATGGACCCTAACAAAATTATCTTAGAATTGATAATCAAAATAAAACAGACCAACCCTGAAGTGGGAATGAAGTGGGTCCAGTCCTAAATGTCTCCCTCTTTTAATCATGCCAGCCAGGGCAAGAACTACCTGAGATGATGATGATGATTTGCTGGAACTTGTGCCATAAATACTATGGCTGTGACAAAAAACTGATGGGCTCACAAGCCTGAAAAGGTTACATGAAAATAACACATCAAAGTACTCTGGGACTTCTGAATTCAGACTGACAGAGTTTTTGAGCACAAAACTCACAACATCATGATCGTGGAAAAAATAAAGTGTGGATCATCGATGTTGCAATCCCAAGTGACAGCAGAATTGACTAGAAGCAACTGGAAAAGCTGACACAATATGAGGATTTAAAGACTCTGGCACAAGCCAGTTAAGGTGGTCCCAGTGGTGATTGGCACACTAGGTGCAGTGCCTAAAGACCTTGGCGTGCACTTAAAAACAATCAGCGCTGACAAAATTACTATCTGTCAGCTGCAAAAGGTCACCCTACTGGGATCTGCACACATTATTTGCTGATTCATCACACAGTCCTAGACACTTGGGAAGTGTCCGACAAGTGATCCAATACAAAAGCTTGCATAGTGATCTTGTTTGCTGTGTACTAATCTTGTTGTGTATCAAATAGTAATAATAATAATAATAATAATAATAATAATAATAATAATAATAATACACACTTTTCCTTGCATCTCACTTCCACATTAGGAAAAATTTCCTAACGGGAAGAGCACTTCAACGGCAGAATACTCTAGCTTGGAATGCAGTGGAGTCTCCTTCTTTGGAGGTTTTTAAATAGATGCTGGAATGCTTTCAGTGCTCAGCAAGGGGTTGGACTGGATGGATGTTCCAGTCTTTTCTTACTTTATGATCCTATAAATATACAGTTCCAGACTATTGAGGATGATGTTCTAAAATAGAGCACCATTAATTACATAGGACAAAGTGGCTTTCATGAATTAGTTCTCATAAATATGTACTGCTAAATATTTATGTTTTGTTTCCAAGATGGGTAATTTTCCATCCTTATATGGGGTTTATGTGCATTTAATTTAGCAATCACTAGCATATTGTGCCGGATGATAATAGCCCTCCCACCCCATGACAAAAGCAGCTTTGCTGTTAACAAGATTGATATCTATCTACAGTATCTATCTAGGCGCGTCAAGCCAACCCCGACCGGGA